TGGCTGTGCTGGCTCATTTGCGAAACCTCCCGTATTTTTAGTGTGGTGTGTTGCCCCTTTTGTTGGTGTGCCTTTTTTTACTAAGTATTGCAACTCTTAACATTTTTTGTTTTAAAGCAAAAATAAATGGTGCAAGAGCCTTTGTCCGCTTGCTGGATCACTGGGCACGCGTCTTACCCCCGACCACGCGACAGCAAAGAGCTCTCAAGCTCGGTAGGAGGGTCTTACAGACAGCGACAGATTTAGGCGGCATCCCTGACTGCCACCCCCTATAATAAATTGTGCGACGGAAAAGACGGCATCTATAAAAATCAAGACCTTGATTGATCGAAAAATCTGAATTCGAACAAGAAAACTGATTGAAAACCGAATATGCTGCAAAAATCTCAGGATATTGAGGAATAGCCTTTTTAAAGCTAAGAATTACTGTGTTCGCCGGAATGTCGTTCCAAGCGCCAATTGTAGCCCGAATCGCACGAATTCGCTTTTGCTTGCCCATTATGCCGGACCAATTAGTCCGCATTTTCGCTTGTAGCGGCCCCATGACCCCGACATCCAGGACACGCTGCTGTGCTGTTTGGAGGCAGTGGAACTACGGTGGTATTAGCTTCTTCAGCTACAACCGTATCCGGCTTCTGAAACTTGACACTCAAAGTTGTTAAGAAGCAGGACAGTGGGTCCTTCTACCTCATATTTCAGTAAGCTTCTTAGCATAGAATTCCCAAGTTATTGCGTCCATCCAGGCGCTCTCCTGGATAGTGTAGAAATGCCCGAGTGGACAATTCTGGAGCTCGTTGGCTTCAATTCGACCTCCAATCTTACCACACACGATGAACAGAATGGGTAACTTTTTCTGCAAAAAAAAATAATTAATGAAAAATATTACATCATTCGGAAAAAAAAGTAAAAACTTACCGTCCGCGCGAGTTGTAAGTACTGCCGTCATCCATCCTGCGTGCTTCGACGTGTTTGCCAATCGAGCAGCGTCCCGCCGTTCCCGACCAGCCCAAATGCGTGAGGGTGGCATGTCGAAGTTAATCGCAGTTTCATCCCCTTTAAAATTTCTGACGACCCATAATCTTCGTAGGTCCTCCAAAACGCAAGGGCACACTAAGCACGAGTTTCTTCCAAGTCCTTCGCACTCTTCTTCGTTGGTTGGGGCTTCTGATACGTAAATCCATGTCTACAGCCTAAAGAATCAAATATTTAAAAATTATTACATTATAACTTTCAAAATACCGGTTTGCGAGACGTTCGCACATACGCTGCAGTGCTAGCAGATCGCTCCTCTTGTCTATCATGTAGTTTGTCACCCAATTAGGCTCAATATTGCCACATGTACTACATTATGCCGCGTGTTGTAAGTGCCTAATACTCACAGTTTTATGGACAAAGTTAGTAAAAAAATATTAGGTAATCACAACATTAACTTCACCGATTTTGGAGTTACCATTAACCCCTGCCGGTAACGCAAAAACCGGCATTTCATAGCCGCTCCATAGTAAACAGTGGCAATTAATATCCAATCAAAAAAAATCCAATCATCTTATCGTAAAAATTGAATGGTTACATCAGCTCGCTACCTAATTCTTTGTATGGCTTGCTCATTTTACACTATCCGCGAAAAGTGGGACGCCGTTCGCAGGATGCAAGAGATTTGGGTGGAGAAGATAGCCCGTGAGCTGCTGACCTTTAGCGGCCACGTCACCTCCAAGACGATGAAGGGGCAGGGATGTAAGGAGCTGTTCCCCGACATCTCTGCTATCATCACCTTCATGAAGGACAAGCGGCGTGAGGAGCAGGTGAGTATGGAATGCAATGTGTGTGCTTTTGTATATATTACCTGTAGACCAGTTTATATAAGAAATATCACCTAATGTTACCTTCTGAGACAAATGATATTAAATATCAACTAAGTTTTAGTTAAAACGATAATGTATTTTTCAAAGATAGCATAATCTGTGTAAATCTACCAGCCATATGTCATTAACGTTCGACTAGCTGAAGTATTAATAATCAACCGTGAGAGAGATGGAGCCCGGGACGATTGTGAGAGTGACGGCAAGGTTGGTGTGGTGTGTTGGTACTGCTGAGCGCATTAATCTAGCGTCACATTCTACAGGTTTATTAGACGCACGATGTGGACGCGGTTTTCGGCAGAGAACAAGAAAAATACCTTGATTTCGCTCTATCGACTATAAACAACTGCAAACGTTTGCAGTTTTCCATCCCGATCGGCTTTGTCTGTGTCACAGTGAAATACGACACCTTTGCCGGTCCAAGTTGGCGGTACTCTACACCTTTGCCAGTCCAAATCGGCGACAGTGTAAAGCAAAGTGGAACGTCCCGTAATTAATTTTTTTTAATTTTTGAATTTATTTTTTTAGAAAAAGCCTGTCATGCAAAGTTGATTTAGTGTAGTGCAAAACTTTACGTGCCGTACTCCATAGGTTCGCTACGAATAGCTGCCGCCACTGACAACGCACAGTGGCGCGCCATCTTGTTAACCAAGCGCAGATTCATACATGGCAAGCTATGCTCTGCAGCGTTTTCAAGCAAGCTGCATCCGGCGGTCGTGGCGCTTTGACCGCAGGTGCTGACACGAAACTTCCAAAGTCGAAGTGCAGCATCTCCTGCATCTGCACGAGCGTGTATTGGCAGTTATCCTCCAGGTATTCTACGAGGGCCTCCTCCATCTCCGGCGTGCACTTAGTGCATGTCGCCCGCGCGCCGCCTCTCTTCTTGATGTCCGGGGTTCCTCGCTCGACGATAGTCCGAGCCGTTGTAGCTGGAATTCCGTTGCAATCGGCTACTAAGGCCCAGTCCTGCCCAGCCTTGTGTGCGTCGAGAACGCGTGTCCGGGCCGCGAGGCCATGCTTTGGTTCTGTTGGCATGATGCCAGAAGAAGAGGTTTTGATGCCGACCACCAGTTAGCTCTGCACTAAATCGCCATTGCTCTAAAGTCAATTTTTGAAAATAAAAATTAAAAATTTCTTTGTCACTTAAGTTACTTCACACCGCTTTGCTTTACACTGTCGCCGATTTGGACTGGCAAAGGTGTAGAGTAATGTGGTGAAGTGGTATTTGAAGTAGCACAAATTTTCCTGAAGTAAATCTACAATTTTGTTACTTATAAAAAAATGTTGAGTAAACGGTTTCTTTGCAGTTCAAAGGGGATCCTGTGCAGATCAAAATGGTGAGGAGTTCCTCATTCTTGCTTTGGAGTCCTACTTATCAAGTTGTCCCCTGCACACTGCCTCCCCGTGCCGATGTCGACAACCCACTCTGCTGCTGCCAAGACCCGCGTTCTTGATGCATTCCGCGAGGGGGGAACTGGCAGCTGGCTGTAGAGCACAACGGAATCCCCGAGTCAACCAGCCGCCAAATCATAGCCACAGGTCGGGTGGAGCCTCTGCCACGCAGTGGGCCACGCATCTCCTGCACTAAGTGCACACCTGAGATGGAGGCTGCCCTAGAAGAGAATATCGACGATAACTGCACGTACACCCTCGAGCAGATGGCCGCGATGCTGCACTTTGACTTCGGCGTGCGGCTCAGCTTGTCCACCATCAGCAAAAAACTGACGGGGAACCTGTTCACGCTGAAGCAGGTATACAAGGTTATATTACAATTGAGTATTGATGTACACTCACAAGCTAAATGTATGTGTATACCATGTATACAGGTCCACGTGGAGCCCAAACCTTCAATAATGAAGCTAATTAGACCAAGAGAAAGGAGTTTCTGAAAAGCTTAGAACCCATATACTTGACGGAGACTTCGTAGTGTCCTATGATTTAACCAACTTCAACGTATACTGCAGACGAAGCCAAGGGAGCGCCAAAAAGGGAGAGCGAGCTACGCTGGTTTTACCCCCGTCCAAAGGTCCGAATCTGCCGATACAATGTGCCGTATCAACGGGGATGGTCTTGGGGCAATATTGCCTGTAGCGCGGCAGCATCAAAATGGAGCAGAATGCTGCTTTTGTCGAGGAGATCCATGCTAAAGTGAAGGCCTCAGACACCTACCAATACCTTTTTTACGACAAAAAGATCGTCGTTGTGCTGGATAACGCCCCACCACATAATCAAACGGAGGCGTGCGTAGCGGAGCATGAAGATCTCGTCTTGCTTCGCTTGGCACTCTACTCGCCAATGTGCAGCCCAATTGAGGGTAAGTGTATGTAAGGTGAGGCTGTTTAACTTTGTCTAATGCTTATATTATTATCCAAACAGGTTGTTTCAGTGTACTCAAAGGAAAGATCAAGAATGATCTTGCACTTGCGCGAGAGGATCTCGTTGCTTCACGCCCACGCGGGCAGCAGGGAGAGGCGCGTTTTGGAGCGTGCTGCTAGGCGTCACAGGCTGCATGACCTTGCGTTTGGTTGCAAAATTGGCTCTGCACTGCCAGCACGCAGTGGCAGCTGCTGAACGCATGGATGATATGCGTTATGGGGCGTGATCAGCGTCGTTTTGGGCTTGCGCCACTTTTGTCTACGATTTCCTCACTTTGCTGCGCAATTTTTTTTATCAAATTTAAACTTTACTTTTCCGCTTTCATTTTATTTAACTATTTTCTTTTTACAATATTTGCTGTTCATATTGCTCTACAGTACCGCCAACTTGGACCGGCAAAGGTGTAGAGCAAATACTTGCCATTTTTAAAGCCTGTCATCACTACTGCTGTTCTAGAGCTTGACCGAAAGAGTTCTTTGGTGAGTCCTCGGATCACTCAGCAGAGGGAAAGGTGGAAAGAAATGTACTTAAGTGGGGAAAGCATCAAATAATATCATCTATTAATAGTATCTAATATTTTCAAGTTTTTCAAGCTAATATTAAAATATTATGCTAACTTTTGAAAACTGAGCTACTATTAATATCGAAAATAGTACTACTACTGTCATAAATATCAAATGATATTTGGTTCTTAGGTTGCACAGCTGTGGAGTGCGCAGTTTTGATGTGGCAAACACAGCTATTGCTACGTGTATTAATAAGAAGTTGAAGTCTTCAATGGCGGACGACGCTCGCGCGTTTAAGCGACAGAAGCTCGCGACGAGCACAGACGCTGATACGACACCCTCTGAACTGGGCTTCTACTTGAATAGACTGAAAACTGCCCCAGCCTCCCATAACTGTGCGTAAACCCCTCTGTCCTGCGTTCTCTTCATTTTACTAAGGTACACACTTTTGGTCTGCCATTCTCAGTGCACGCCAAGCGTCTGAGCGATCTGTTAGAGGGAGACTTTTCCCGATGCTTACTGACCAACTATATGTTCGATCTGCCGTGGCTGTTCACCGAATGTCCCCGACTTAAGGAAGTGCCAGTTGTGCTGGTGCACGGAGAGAGAGACCGACAGGGGTTAGTGACTCGCGCAACACTGATTTTAATTATCAATTAATGACGTTTTTGTTGTTATGTTGCGGCTGCAGAATGACGAAAGAGTGTCGAGATTACTCCAATGTGACGCCTGTGGCGCCGCCGCTGCCTATTCCATACGGAACGCACCATACCAAGATGCTGGTGGCGCTATACCCGGAGAGAGTGCGGGTGGCGATCTTCACAGCTAACTTCCTGTCCAACGACTGGAATACCAAGACGCAGGGCTTATGGTACCAGGACTTTGGGCTCAAGGTTCTTACTGACAGCGACGAGGAAGAGAAAGAGGCTGTCGCCAAAAGTTCTAGTGACTTTGAGGCAGATCTGGTCCACTACCTGTCGTCGCTGGGAGCGCCAGTCAAGCTGTTTTGTGGAGAACTCAAGCGATTCGACTTCTCAAGTGCAAGAGTTGCGTTGGTTCCATCCGTTCCTGGTGTTCACAAAGGCAAAGGTGGGGGGGGGTGAGATAGAGGATGGAGCTGTGATCACGTGCACTTATAGTTTTTATACTGGATAGATATGGAAAAGTACGGACATCTCCGCGTGCGCAAGTAAGTTTTGCATGCTCCTCTTTGAAATTTCGGAGTGTGGATCATTTACCTAACCGTGTGTGCATTGCTCGTGCCTGACCAGACTTCTGAAAATGTACAAAATCCCTCCGACAGACAATCCGTTGATATGCCAGGTACGTGAATGCGTGGAACCTCTCGAATTAAATGTTGCAACTTGTCAAACTCACCCGATATATGTTATGTCTATGTAGTTTTCTAGCTTGGGATCCCTTGACGAGAAGTGGCTCTTTGGAGAGTTTGCAGAGAGCTTGTTGCCAGGGAAGAAACATATCTCGTCCACATCCATGCCAGTTCAAGCACTGCACGTAATTTGGCCCGCGGTTGAAGATGTGGTAAGCCTGCCTTTCAACACTTTCAAGCTTTTGCTCAAGCATAAACTATTTATCTGATAATGTACAGAGAAACTCGCTCGAGGGATGGAACTCTGGGCGCTCGATCCCTTGTCCATTGAAGAACATGAAGCCATTCCTGCACAAATACCTGCGGAAGTGGATGCCGCCGGCAGAACTTCACCGCCAAAACGCCATGCCACACATCAAGTCGTACGCTCGCTTTAACGCGAGCGAGGATAAAGCAGGGGAGCTAGACTGGGCCATCGTCACCAGCTCAAACTTGAGCAAAGCGGCGTGGGGCTCGCTCCAGAAGAACAAGACGCAGTTCATGATCCGGTCGTATGAGCTCGGTGTCATGTTCTTGCCTCCTCTATTGGGACGTCACAGCAATGCAGGAACTTCACCACGTCTTGTGACGATTGGGAGTAAAGCGGCTGAACATTCCGACGTAGCAGAACAACCGACAGAGCTGTTGCCACTCCCGTACAGCTTCCCATTGACGACCTACAATCCGAAAAATGACGAACCATGGGTCTGGGATCTCGTACGAGAAAAACCAGATATCTTTGGCAACGCCTACATCCCTCACTAAGCATAAAATAAAAAGAAAACGAAGATGAGTAGAAGTCTCAGTTTAGTTGATCGCCCAGTCTTGGGACGATCAAAGACACAATTAGCTGCCGTAGGGTCGGGCGCAGTGGCGTTTGGTCAATGAAACGGACCTTCAAGTGAAGCAAGATCTGAAGTTCAAGCGGCCAAGATGAAGGCAACGACGTGTGTCAGGTGAGCGTTAAGCTGCGTTGGCAGAGAACAGTGGACTGACTAAGTGTCGTGTGGCTTGAACTGTAGGGTGGTTCTTCCGACGGACGAGCTAGTTCGAATGGAGTGCGCTGCCACGATGACGGTTGCTGATCTCGTGAGGACGCTGGAGAAACGTGCCAGTTTTCAGAAAACCAATGGAGTCGACGGAAACAGAGACGTCGGCTCTTGTGGTGATAATAATTGTGACAGCGATCCAGCTACTGAGACGGCGTTGGATTGTCGTTCAATCTCGCAATTGTCTCGAGGAAAGCTAACTCTAGTTCGGATGGAATCAGGTGCAACAGAACTGGGGAATGAGCTGTCATTAGGGCTCAAATACTGATGGATATCTTGCTTTTTGACCACGCAGAACTCAAGGACCAGGCGCTTGTGGTCGATGAAGTGGAAGAGCTGGATATTCTCGAGTTTCAACTTGCTAGTATAGACACTCCAGAGTGGATTCCCGATCGTAGCTTTCGGCGCTCCCGCAGGATCTCGCCGATCATCAACTCGTCGTCTCATAAGGTGCTGGAAGCAGCTCGACCAGTCTCAACGACTTTACTTCCATTGCACCAAGTGAAACAAGACCGGGCTTTTCGAGAGGAGACATCGACGAACCAAAGCACAACAAACCATCCACTGGTGAGGTTTAAGGATCTAATTCAGCACTCCCAGGTGATTCGATCACGTCTTCGAACGCGACCACGGAATAAGAAGAAGCGCTTGCTGTTTACTCGTTTTCAAGCGGTCAGACGCAACGCCAAACAGCGAAAAAATACGGCTCGTGTCCTTCTTCGGGCGGGGATGCAGCTGATCGAGCTCATCCATCTATTTCATAAGGACGTGCGAGGATTGGTGTTTCTTCTGCGTGATGCGATTCTGGGTGGTAACACCTTGAGCATATGCGAGTTGTTGTCATTGGTGAGGAGGATGGTCAAGACATTGACTCATCTAAATCTTGATTCGAGTGCATCCGCGTCTTTTCTAGAGGAAGATAACGAGAGTTTGGTTCGAAGATTGTCATGGGATATTGCTGGCAAGGACGGAGGCGTCACTGTTATTCTGGAAGGATGGGTGGTCACTGCAGAGTGGGGACCCTTCTGGAGATCACAGCGCAAGGAATATGCGTGTCTGTGTGACAACCACGTCCTCTACTTTTTCTCGAGTCGAACGCATTGTGCGGACTTTGTGTTCGAACTGGGACGGCTACGAGACGGCAGCGTATCGGACACCAGCAAACGTCTAATGAAAGCCAGCAGCTCGCTAAGCCAGATTGATCTCTCCGAGACCGACTGGAGTGTGAGGAAAAGCATCCAAGAAGAGGAGTCGGGAACGGTGCATCGCAATGCCTTCGCGTTCTTCGACCCAACTGGCAGGATGCGACTGGTGTTGGACGTAAGTTCTGGCGCCGAAGCTACAAGGTGGGCAAGGCTGATCTCTGCTGAGATGAGCCAAAGCAAAGTATTCGCACGAATGCGCGAACTGAATGATGAACCTGCGAGATCGTCAGAAGACCCCGATCCATTTGCCACATGGACAGAGATATTGACGCATGCCACTGCGAATGCTAACGATCAGCAGTCCTTGATGATCCCGCTGCATTCGCTGTACTCGCAGATGGACCGACGAAACGGGACAGCACGAGAAGAACGCTACAAGTCGTGGATACTTGGTCAAGCTTTGAAAGATTTGCAGCGCGATTGCGTTAAGATTAATGGTCTTGTGCTTGCTGGGGCTTCGCTGGAAGCGAATATCCTTGCGCTGACACTTGAGATCTTGAAGTGCACGGAAGCGGAACAAACTTTCGCGTCGAAAACACGAGCAGGAGACGCAGCTATGTTTGCAGAAGAGATGACTGCGCTACGGTTTGCCCGTCAAGTGATAATCTACAGCTCGCGCACTCATGGCGGAGGGGATATCCTCGACGCCTTACATCTTCTGTTTGGCAATGAAAAGTATTGCATCTGTCCAGACGCACCATCAATGGAGCCGATTGACATCAACGTCTCGAAGGAGGAGAACTCTGAAGTGCCTCTCAGTGCTCGCATCACAATGAAAATGACCTATCGCGTGATTCCGACGGATTCGATTGGCCCCATGGATGAACAAGCTGATAGCTTTATCCAAAATCAAGAGGCGGATCGAGAGTTTAAGATCGTAGGAATATACTCACAGAAAGTGAGTTGCCACTTTATCGAGGGGAACGACATTGAAGGGAGCGTTCAACTACAAGCTGCAGGCTGAGAAAAATGGTACTAACGTCTTAAAGAGTACGCTGAAATCCTCTTGGATCTTCCTAACGGCAATACCCACCACGGATTCGACGGTTGTGTCGATACATCCGAGGACTTCACGACGTCTGCATACTCGAGAGCTGTGGAGGTCTCGGTGGAGGTAAGAGTGCTTGGTACACTGCTTGGCTCGTTCTGTTTATCAACTGGTGTTGGAATGACACCGCCTTGAGCTGAAGACAGGGAGTTTACGGCCTTGTCTTGAGCAATTTCGAGAGCACGTAGCTGGATTGGTCTCAGAAACTGATCAGTAGCGTTCACAACGCGCAGAGCTTCGATGATCTCGTCTTCCGATAACTTGAGTTCTGCTTCGTCTGAATCACTGCAGGAGCTAAACACATACCGATTCCAGTTCAATAACTTGACTGACCATTTCTTGACTAGCTCTTTGTTGGGTGCGAAGAACACAACGTGATAGCTGCCACTTAGTGACTGTGAGGACGATGAGAGAGCGACTTGTGGCCTGTGTAACCTCGTCGGTTCAACGCGTTTAGCGGTGCTATCGTCGTCCTCATCGTTGCTTTCTGAACTCGAACTCGAAGTGTCTTCTACGAAGTGTTGCGTCGGTGGCACCTTGACAGCGCGCGCTTTTATCTCGAAGATGTTGAGCGAGTACATGGCGTTAACTTCGATGCGATGGCTGGTTAGCTGGAACGATTCCACGGGCGCGTCAAGAGCACATGGTGAACGGTAGCCGCGAAGGTAGCCTTCTTCGACGATATAGTAGAGGATACGTGAGTAGACCGGGCTTCTGGCGTCAGACATCTGCCTCCATGCAGGGCGAGAGTCTTGAAAGCACGCTTCAACTGGTACACGGATCAAGTAGCCCTCCATTTTGAATCGGTTGTCGAGAGTGGCCTAAATGAAAGCTGGGGAAGTCGAGTCGAAGTTTTTTAATGCGCTCGTCCTTTTGAAAATGGTTTGAGAAGATCTCCACATTCCTGGACCAAAGGTTCGATTGGAGGTAAGTCGAATAATGAACGAGGCCATAACGGAACCACTAGTCAGATGTTTCACTTGAAACGCTCGAGGTAGAATTAGCTAGAGGACGCAGCCAAGTTGACAGACACATCCACGACAACAACGGATCGCGAAGCAATACTGGCGATGAGAAGGCCAAAGGCTTGCAAAGCTTGCTGGCAGGGGCTAATGTGCTCCGTAGCTCATGCGACAGTCTTTCTGCCCAACAAATTTAACTGACTGACTGAACATGACCCGTTGCACTGCGCTATATGCCCTCATCATATCCCCTGTTGATTTGCCTGTTTGTTTCCTGATGTGTGTAAGCGAAAAGTCTTGCCGGAATCCAGAAATCTGTAGCGCGAAGAAACGATTGAAACCTGTAACGCGAAGAAACTAATACTCGATGTGGCGCTCGAAGCTGCAACCACTTCTTTCTGTGACAGACTGAATTTTCCATCGTTTAAGCCTTTAAAATTTTTGTAAGATGTAGTAAAAGCTTGAAGTCTTCTAGCTTTTCAGTAAACTCGTAACATTGCAGGTCAATTGAGAAAATAGTTGTCCTACAAATATTGCTGGTGTCATCCAGGTTTATTGCATTTTGTCAAAATCTGCCTCATTAATTTCATGCTGACCGCGAAGCCTGGCGTCGATGACTTCCTGTATTGATAATATGAAGTTTTAAGTCCCCCTCTGCTGTTGTCGATCAAAATAGCCACAAATACTGGTACAAGCTCACTTCAAAATACCCTTCAAAGTATCCACAGCAATTCACCAGTTACTTCTCATCCTTGCCCTCTGAATCGTCTTCCATATCACTAGGATTATCAATACTCAATCGTCGAGCCAACTCGGCGTCTGAGAGAACACTGGAGGTGGCACTCTTTATCGACGCAAAACTCAACGATTCTGCTTCGGCCGAGGCGGCAGCAGCCGCGGCAGGAAAAGCGTCGCCTTCGCTACGACGCCGATGGGTACCAAAGTTGGAAGTTTCCAATGCCGCTGGTTTGCTCTCTGGACTTGCTTTACAGGCAGGTGTAGCATCAGGCTCCTCTTCTTCTGACGTTGACACAGTCACAGTGGGTTGTGTATCCGCCGCTGCCTGCTTGCTGGATCTCCTATATCGCGCGTAGAGCTTCAGCACGAGGTCCACCATCTCCTTCTTCTCTATGCACGTAACATCACTGTATCCGGCGCGGTCAATACACTGCTTCAGCTCTTTAATAGACATTTTGTGCACCGCCTCAATCGAATTCCCAGGTTCCAGCGGATTCTTGTACACTCGCGAAGGCTTTTTGCGTTTAGGAGACACTTTTTTGTCCAAATTCCCATACTGCATTTGCTGACGCTGAGCGGGTGAGAGATCAAACGTCGATAGATCGTCTGGCAGCGGCATCAAACCTACCATAACTCGCAGGAATTGCAGCGCTTGGATGAAAAAATTGAACGGTCTAGGACTGTTGTGGCCACCCGGGAACTTGAATAGTTGATTCGGACCATTGTGAAGTTTATACAGCGCCTCCACGTGGTGTGGTCCCACCAACTCATCCTGTAACCCCACCACGAAGAACGTCGGAACGGAGCATTTGTGGACTTTGGCTATGGGTTTTAGCTTGAACATGTCAAACTTGGCTCGTTTCTTGATGTCCCGTCGAATGAGTCTCATCACCAACTTTACTGCGATCTTAGGTACACCCAGTTTCCCGTCCTCTACCAGCTCTGTGGCGAGTCTCGGTAGACTCGAGAAAGGAGAGTCCAGTACCATGGCGTTTATTGCAGAATCGGATTCTGCATACATGAGTGCGGCCACTGCACCCATACTGCGTCCCCAGAGACACAAACTCGAGGCTTCTCCTGTTTTCCTTACATGTTTTACCGCCGTAGCAATGTCCATCCGCTCATGGTAGCCCAGTGACACGTACTTGCCCTCGGACAGTCCGGAGCCGGAGAAATCCAGTGCAAACACCGTGAAGCCAGCCGGTAATGCGTACATAACGATCTCCAACGCTCCGAGGCGACAGGAACTATTGCCGTGAAGCACGACAATGCACGGACGCTTATCCTGCTCCTGTATCTCGCCGGTCTTGGGCTTGCGAGGCTTCCACCAGCTGCATTCGAGAGTATAACCCGCCGGATTCTTGAGCTTGATGTCCACGCGCTGCACCGAAACGTCTCCGATCTGTGCGCGCTTCGGACCGAGATCGGAGGGGATGTACTGCGCCCTTAGAGGGCGAATCACGGTACTCACGAGCCCTTCGTAGCCCTCCTTGACCATGGCCCACATGCCGCGTCGATCACCCGCAGTTGCTAGAGCACAGAGAGAAGAAACAGTCCTACAACGTCAGCGAAAAAGGTGTGGAGATAAGGTAGATCACAAGTGCAGGAAGCATGCGTACCAGAGTCATCCATCGTGCCGTTCCGTAAGTGACGGTGGGTGATGTATCAGGTGGTAAGTTTGAACGGTTTTGAAGGGGAGCTGTTCGCATATTCTGTTCGATTTTTTGTGTTTTTTATTGTGTTTTATTCTAAATTGTTGGAAACTGTCGGCAACAATGGCACCACTTACAGTGTCTTTGGTGCGGCCTTGATGGCGGTCTGAGCGGCCTTCTTGAGCGGCTTGGCAAAGTTGAGTGTGTGCTGAGACCAGAGCGTGGCTGTCATGAGTGCGATCGCGCCGCATTGATGCGCGATGCCGAGCGGAATTGGCACGCAGTTGATCAGCGTGGTGATCCCCAGCAGCACCTGGCCACTGGCAGCACCCAGCGCCATGTTCAGCGCGTTACGCGACTGCTGAGGCAGCTGGTTCCAGATGTGCTGACGGCGCGCCATCGCGTACACACCAGTGAAGCCCGTGAGTGTGCTCAGTGCAAGGACACGATGGTCCAACTGCACGAGTGGCACGTTCTCGAAGAAATTCTTATACTTGGGCTCAAGAACGAACAAGTCGTCGGGAATCCACTGCTCGTCCATCTTCGGGAACGTGTTGAATGCCATACCGGCGTCGATACCCGCCACGAACGCGCCAGAGAGGATAGTGTAGCCAAGAGCAGTGGAAACGTGGCCCAGAATCTTACGGATACGAGTCACCTGCTTCAGCACGTCCGGCGATATCATCTCACGTGTCATTGTCGCACGTGACGGAGGTGCAACCAGGTTGAAACCCGTCCATAGAAGAACACCCAGCGTCGTGAAGGCAAATCCAAGCTGTCACCAGCAACTAACACCCGTTAGTTATCGGTGTTTCTACCGTCGACATCAACTCGAAGTACTTACATGAGTAGCGAGACGATAGGGACTGACGCGCACTTCATTGCGCTTCTGCAGTTGCTCGTGGCCGTGCTCTTCCAAACCACTGCGCACCATCCACCAGCCGACGGCTCCTTGAGCAGCTCCCAGACTGAACAGCACACCAAAGCGCGTGTACAGCTCCCGAGGCAGACGCTTCCGCAACATAAAGTAGATCAATGGCGCGGTGTACACCAGACCGACGGTGCGGCCAAGCATACGGTGACCATACTCCCACCAGAAAATGCCCTTGAAGTCCTCCACCGTCTACACCACATCAAGCACACCCCCACTTTAATAACCATTGCAGCAGGTATATCACAACCAATTGTACCATGTTTTTGCGCTGCTGGTATTCCGGGAATTGCTTGTAGATCTCGAACTGCGCTTCCCACTCCTCAGGGGTCATGGGCGGCAGACTGCCCTGTGGCTTCCACTGCACCATCGACAAACCCGATCGGGTAAGGCGAGTGGCACCACCGACAGCAATCATACCGCCAACCATGGCCGCCGTACCGAAGATCCAGTACGCGACCGGCCGGTTGGCCGCCACGTTCTCAATCGTGGCCGTGGAGGCAGCAAACTTCTGCAAAATTGCACAACAAGAAGTGTCACCGATAGTCAACACATTGTAGTACAAAGTGCGCTAATATAACAGCCAACGACAAGGCAATTGTTGAACAACTGCGTACCCGAGCTTTCGTGGAGTACACAAGCGGCTGTTTTGGCGTCTTGGTCGCCTGCAGCCCGAGACGCGACAATAGCGGCGTGGTTTTGGTAGGGGCAGTCATCGCAGGCTTCACCATTGTCTGATAGCGGCTACTGATTAAGCCAGAGCCTCTCTGCAAGTCAAAGTCAGGCACAAGGTCAGTATTCGGGTGGTGCGACGTCAACAAAATGAATCTGCGGAGCTTCGCAACGTCAATTGGTCTAAGAAACATACAGTGACGGCAAAGCTGTGGGTAACGCCATATTGAGCGCTTCGTCGAGCTGTCTGGGCCAGCATCGTCGTCCGGCCTCGATCAAATGCGTTCGGGCAGGTGGTCGCGTTTCTTGATCTGACTAGGGTGATTTTCAACCAGAAAGTGACCGGTGTCAAAGTCATGCAACATACGGGTACCAACGAGGGGGTACACAATGTGACCGTGTACCCCACCACGTAACCCATTGTGAATTCAAGCTTCTGGTCTGACTTGGTCTCAGTAAATGAAGTGGATGCCAACACCACTAAAATAAGAGCCTAATGAATAGATGTCAGTATGACGAGGATGGCTCGAGAAAGGAAACATTTATTTTAAATATCGGGTCTACGTTTCCTATCACACGAGTTGTGTAACACGACCAAGCTACGTCCCTCCTCTTTGTCCTGGCCGGATTAACGACCATATTCTTCCTCAGCACGACGTTTAAACACGTCCACTTACTCAATACCGAGCTTCTCCTTTCCCAGCTCGTAGCACGAGATCATGATAGCGCACGACGGCGCCACGCGAGCAAGACGTGCACTGAGTCCTGTGAAGGCTCCGCTCACACCCCTGCTGGCCACCACCTGTCGGAGCACCACCATCCCTGACGGCTGCGATCCTTGGACAGACATGGAGACCTGTTGCAGTGTCTTCACCACATCGAAGGGGGTCGTGATCGTTGCTGCGATAGCTCCAGAGAGAGCACCGCAAGTGAAAGCTCTCTGCGTTCTCGACAGCTCTTCCACATTCCGCTTCTTCTGCAGATTCTCATACGATGTCCAGTAAATCGCCGAGAATGGCACGTCCCTTGCCAATGTGGCACCCAATCCATTCAGTAATGACGCGTATCCTCCGCGTCGCACTGCTTGTTGGAACGTGCTTAAAATACTGGCTCCAGCTTTATCACCTTGCATCCTCGTCCGGATCAGTTCAATAGGCGACGTAATCGATGCTGCCACAATTCTCGCTGTGGTTCCAGCCATTAAAGGCACCAATCCCTCCATCTGCGGGAATCGTTGACGTCCCTCGTGTAGCAGAACGTCGTAGGACATGTAGTACAGCACAGTGGACGGCACGGCAACGACCATGGCAGGAGACAAGCCCGCGAATAGTCCCCTTACTCCTTCGGTCTGAAAGATGTGGCGCAACGCGTGTGAAGTGCCCTGAAGCTGCGTAGGAGCCACAGCTCGCGAGCAGGACATCCGCATGGCTGGGAGAGCCGTGCAACCGCGTCGTGAGGACAGAAGTCTCTCAACGGGACGCGTAATTGAGCGGTTGCATACGCATCGACTGCGGCAGCGGCATTGCTCGATGGCAGTGGCCACAGACGTGCCGACGCTCGAGTGCGTGACGCGCAGGTCCGCCAGCGTCTTAGACGGCGGCATTTGGATCTGCGACTGGATGCGCACCTTGGCCACGTCTAGTGGCGTGACGAACAGCGAAGTGAGCAGCGCGCCCGACGAAGCCGCCGCCGCCTTCTTGAGAGTGTCCTCCGCCTTGAGCTCCATCACTCTTGACTTGTCTTGAATATTCGCTGGCAACTTGGCAAGTGAGCGGCTGAAGGCAGAATCCTTGCGGCAGGTATTGCACCAATCAAAGGGCCGCCACGCGCTCAGAGCCAATCACGACGACGACCGTTGCAAACACGGTGATTGGAAGATTTTGGCTGAAGTCCGTTCTGAAGGTTTCACCACCTCCCGTAAGTGACATTTTTGGAAAATTGTCTCTTTATCTTTCCGGTGGTCTATCCAAAGGGGTCACTATTGACAGGTTTCGTGTAATCATTTTATGACGAAGGTATTGTTGATGCTTTTTTGTTATTGCCTTCGGACAACAGTCGTCGAGCTAGAGCTCGTCACGGCCTGTGCTAGCCTGCAGACGCCTCGACTGCACTGTTTGATGCATCTCGTGAGCCAGGGATTGTAGGAAACGCAGCGGCATGCCACGCGCGATGAAGCCTCGATACAAGATCTGTTCGTCGTCCACCAGTCCTTGTTGTCTGCGCAGCTCTGTGACCGCGTCGGTCAGAATCTGCTCGTCATCCGCGTCGATCTCCTCGTCCAGCGGGTTCAGCGTCTTGAGCAGGAACCTACAGCAACATGTGCGTTTATAGTCATCCCAGTACCGTTAAGAAGGTCGACGTACTGGTACAGGTCCTCCACGTGAATGTAGTTATCCCGGTATCGCGACGTATCTGCGACCTGGTCGTAGGACCAATCGATGATTTTGTCAAGGACCTCCGCATTCGCGTACTCAGCGTTAAACGCGATCAACTCGACGTCTGTCAGCCCGGGGATGACCGGAAGCGCTTCTTGTTCATCTTCATTGGCCTGGCTCTCTTCCTCGTTCTGATAAAAGTAGTAAGTTAATCGCTCGCTTTCGAATCCGTGGAGTAATTTCAAGCACAGTACGAACCAATCTTCGCTGGCTTTCGAGATGTGAATCAAAGGCGATATCTTCGTCTAAGGGGTCAGTGACCTCCTGCGCAGAAAATGACATCATGATCATGTAAACGCTCGGATATACAGTCAAGTGAATAGAAGAGGTTCCTCGAACCTGCTCGTACGAATCTCGGTAGTAAGCGGTCTGCTCCAACTCACTAGAGTCTACTTCTGGTGTTGATTCGAGTGCGTGAAGCTCTTCCTCGCGCTCTCGTCTCTTGACTTCCTCAAGCGTACGCTGCTCCAAATGCGGATAAATATCCTGCAAGCAATAGTAAAGTGAGTTGAACACGCACCTGCCAGCGCTCTTCTTCCTCCGTAGCTAGTCGTTCTCCGGGCGATAGTTTTCTTTCATGCGGCGAGTCTTCGTCTTGGTTGTTGAGCTGCTCATGCTCGACATCGTCCTGTGTAGAAACCACTTTCATCACGCCAAGGGCTTCCCATGCCAAACAAAGTCGTAAAACTTTGCACCTTGTCCTTCGTGTCGATAATCTCTACGTTTGTTACTTCATCCCACGCAGACAAATCTTCATCGGCTGGAGCATGAACTACGTCTTCGACGCTACCTGCTCTTGAAAGCTAGAACCAAGCAGCCACAAGCTACAGGTGAGCGCTTCAAGCTGCAGATATTTCTTGTCTAACCGGTACCTGTAGGAGGATAAAGAGTGAAATAATCCTGCGAAGATGTTGCATTATTGCTGGCAGATCGCAATAATGCCAATCAAAAAGATATCTTGTGCGTGCGGTCAGAAATTTTTCAGATTATCAAAATTTCGACAATTACCTTTGCAGGACAAAACCAACCCTTAAGTCACCTCTACGATCTCTTACGGCTCGAAGTTGCTCAGGGTGGTGTATCCCTCGTCACCCTTAACAGGGTCCCAAAAGAACTCATAGTCCATCAGTGGGGTCAAAGGCCAGCCATTCTTAAAGCGGTCGACGAGGTCTGGGTTCGCCATGAACATTCGCGCGAAGCCAACGAGATCGGCCGAGCCACTTCGAAGAACACCTTCAGCGATGTCTCTCGAGTAGCCTTTGTTGGCAATGACAGTCCCCTTGAATGCTTTCTTGGCGTCGAAGGTAATTAGCGGTCGGCACTTATCATGATAATGCGCGTCAGCACCCACTCCTTCCAAGCCGTCTAGAATGGCCAAATACGCCAATCCATGCTCCGACAAACGTTCGTACGCGTACGTGAACAGCTCAGCATACTGCCCATCCCGCCGTAAGGACTGTTGGGAGCTGTGCGAGCACCAATACGATCAGCCGGGTACACTGTCTTCACCGCCTCAATGACATCATTAAGGAAGCGGTAGCGGCTCTCAAACGACCCGCCATGGCTGTCTGTGCGCTGGTTCGTGCAAGATTGAAGAAACTGGTCTATCAAGTAGCCTCTCGCCGCGTGCAGCTCAATACCATCGAAACCGGCCTCCTTGGCTCGCTCAGCGCAAGAACGCCACTGTTCCACCACCTCCGGAATCTCATTCAGAGTCAACGCACGAGATCGCTCGTATCCGACGTGCTCTCCATACACGTTACGAGTCCTACCGGTTTCATACAATGTGGCAGAGGACGACACGACTTCGTTGTTGGTATGGAACGAGGGGTGAGACTGCCGGTCCATGTGCCACAGCTGAACGAAGATCTTGCCTCCTTTCTTGTGCACACAGTCGACAACCTCCTTCCACCCCTGGACTTGCTCGTCCGGGGGGGAGCTTACTCGCGAGTACAAAAAGGATGATCTCCGAGTACACACAAAAAGGATGACTTGCGAGTACAATTTGGGAAAAAGGTGGATTGGCGAGTATGGCATCATAAAAGGTGGATCACCGAGTACATTCGCAAGAACCGACAAGTTTGGTCAGTGTCACCGGGGACTATGGGATGACTCGCATACCTAGTGCGTGGCTGTAGGCGACAGCAGCTGCGAGCTGTTCCACGTCCATAAGCTCCACTTTTCAGGTTGAGAACTTGACCTTCCACTGATAGCGACCGCCATTTTCGAGCCAACGGTCGACATGTCCAGGCACATGCTCACGTAGCACTTGTCCCCTGTTCTTCACACTAAACTCCTTGGTCACATGCCAGTGTGTTGGCGCGGCGGGGCTTTCCATGAAAAGCTGCTCCAGGTGCGAGACACCGAAGAACCGCGCGTCGCTTTTGTTGAACCGCGTGCGGGCAAGCGCGCCGCGGGATTTGAACTGACCTCTCGGGCGTCGTCGAGCTGGCAGCACACTCAACAACGCGTCGATGCTGATCTTCTCGAGGAGCGCCATCGTCGCGACAATGTGCTCGCACATCCATCCTGCCTGGCGTGACTCAGAGCAATCGCACACATAGCACTGACGCACCATTCGGATCTAGAGTAAGAACAGTCAGAACCGTCGCTGCCATGTGGGATTGAGATGAGATCAAGTACGTACATCGTCTGCACTCCATTTTGGAGACACCTCGAACGGGTCATGCTCGCTGTTGAGTACTTGAACGCGGTAGAGTGACTGGTAGAGCAGTTGGGCCTCCGAAGCGCGTCCTCGTGGGATTGATGCACCGACAGTCGGGTAAAGCTGGGATCGTCGGCTGGAGGCGGGGAACCCGCGCCATCGTCGATGACTGCGAACGCCTCCGACATGGCGACTTTGAGAGTACAACTGAACACCAAGGCAGCAACAGGAAACCCGCCACTCGCCCCAACAAGCCTCTACCAACCACCGGCAGCCTCTACCAGCCACCGGTAGCCACAGCCAACCATCGCTAGCCACAGCCAGCCACCAGCAGTCACAGGCAGCCATTGGTTGCGACAGGCATCAACTGGGGTGCACCACATATCCGTAAATAGCGTTTCCTAGTGAGCCATAAATAGTGTTCTCCGTGTACATCGGGAACTCGCAACTCATACATTTCGAGCCATGGACTCGCCAATCCACCCTTTTTCCCATTTGTACTCGCAAACCATCCTTTTTTTTGAGCATGTACTCGAAGATCATCTTTTTTGTACTCCGATATAATCCGCACCCGCTCGTCCGTGTAGAGCGCCGGGGATCCGTACCATCCAAACGCTTGTTCGGAGATGGCGCAGGCTTCAGTAACGATGAGACCAGCACTAGCACGCTGCTCGTAGTAGATGGCGTTGCGTTTCAGAGGTGCATGGGTTTCAATGTCGCTGCGAGCACGAGTGACAGGGCCGTACACCATGCGATTCTTGAGCTCGAGTCCTTTGCCGAGGTGCAATGGGGTGAAGAGCGTGTAGCTGTCTGTCTTGGAAGACATGGTTGGGTGCGGTGGTGCTGAAATTTTCAACGTAAAAGTGATGAGGTGGGTGGAAATTGAGAAGTGAATGCCTATCTACGACTTTCTCGAAACTCCTAGGTAGTGCTCATCGGTATGGCTGTTGTTATCGACAAGAGACCTCCTGACCTAAGCATCGGGTTTGCGTCAGGTACATGTTTCGTGACATGTTCATATTCGATAGGGAGAGAAATGAACAAAGTCTTCTGGTATGAACAATTCTCTGCCTATCGAATATAAACGTGTACCAGTGTTAGCTACGACGAGCAGCCAGATGAAGAGTATCTGACTTAATCAAGGCGTTTGCGTCAGACAAATGTAGCCATATTACGTTTGGACCGCAATTAAACCAATATATTAATATTTTAGGTCTTTTATCCAAATACATAAAATAACTATATGTGGTTCAAATAGTTATTCTGTCGTGCACTTGCCAATGCAACTTGATCGCTCTCGCCGCGAGTAGCGTAATAGGTGGCCATCATGGTGCTTGGACGTGTTACACGGATCCAAGTGTCTTGAGCTCGAGAAGGGAGATCTCTGTTCATAGTGCAGATCCGCAATCCAGTTCTTGTGCGCTCAATGACTTTCTTTGCGAGTTGCGGAAGATCGGCTGCAACTTAAGCTGTTTCACCAGCAGATACCGGTATACTATCAATAAACGAACATTCCCCTCGGTAGTCATAGCGTGATTTTTATCCTTATTAGGGGGATTCCTATCGCGGGATGTACTGTACCTTAAAAATGGATCTGTAGTCACACATCTGATAATGCGACGCGTTAGCCAAGAGCTCACTTGTCCACCACTATTAATACACAGATAATTGGTTGGACATGCAAGAAGTAGCTCAGGTCTCCAGCGAGCTTACCTGGTTACAGTATTGGCTACAGCTCTCGATTTTCCAAACCAACCGCATAAGCTGCTGCCTGGATCCCAAACAATGACTAGGGCTTTGTGGTGGTTAGTTGCCCTCAACGCGGCATGCGGCATGACGAAAGGTATTCGAGCCGATTCAGGCCCCCACATAAACCCGGGCGTCTACCGCGTTCTCCAGAGCAAGTCTACGATAAATTTGATCGTGACAATGCGTGAAGGAACAACCGCGGCTATAAACGAAGGCAGTACTCTCTCAACCGGGGGGTCCAATCCAGTATCGCGAGGAGATCGAATAAAGCACCTTGTGGACTCGCTCAAGAAGTCAGCGTGGTCCACGCAGCAGCCTGTAATGAATCTTCTCAACGAGCAGGCCAAGACTACCGCAACGTCATTATCCGCGACAACATTCTGGATCTCAAACCAAATCTACGTCGCAGATGCATCGATGGAGTTACTACAGCGGTTGAGGATGGAATCGTCGATCGCGGAAATTCGCGAAGAGCAGATCTTGACGATGGGGGGCCACTTCAAGGCGGAACATTCGGACGACGCTGAGCCGAGAACGAAGATCCACGCGTGGGGTGTCGGGAAGATTGGGGCAGAGGTCGTGTGGGCAAAGGGCATCATGGGAGCGAACGTCACGATCGCGACGATCGACACTGGTGTTCGTGCATCGCACGAGGCGCTGCGATCAAACTTTCAGGGCGATTACGGGTGGTTTGATCCGGAGACCAAAAGTGGGGCCCCATTTGACTTATCCGGCCATGGAACTCACGTGATAGGCTCAATTGTTGGAGTGAATGGCGTTGGTGTAGCTCCAAAAGCGAATTGGATGGCTTGTCGAGGTTGCAGAAGCACAACGTTGTGTCTTGAGTCAAGTCTCTTAGCCTGCGCACAATTCGTACTCTGTCCTACGGATCCAAAGGGCCATAACCCAAAGTGTAGCAAAGCTCCCCGTGTCGTCAACAATAGCTGGGGAGCCGTTCAGGGAGCTGCGAACTTCAGTGCGATTATTGCAGCATGGCAAGCAGCTGAGATTATTCCGGTGTTCTCCATTGGTAATTCAGGCTCTTTCAATAGTTGCGGGGTGGTGGCCTCACCCGGAGACAGTAGCATGGTCATTGGAGTCGGTGCAACGCGTTCTAACGAATTTCTACTTCCTCAAAGCTCGACAGGACCCTCAGCCGATGGACGCATTAAACCCGATATCGTAGCACCAGGAGATAGAATTTATTCCGCTTGGTGGACAAGAGACAACGTCTACGTTATCGCATCAGGAACGAGTATGGCATCACCGCACGTTGCTGGAGCAGTTGCGCTGCTACTCAGTGCACAACCCGATTTAACATATGACCAGATTTGGGGAGCTTTGGCAATCTCAGCTGCGAAGGACAGAAGTGTCGTGGACAACGCCGCTTTCCACTCGTCCTGTGGGAACATTTCGGCGCTCATGTTCCCCAACAACATTTTTGGCTACGGACGGCTAGACGTCGATCGTGCTGTACAACTGCTAGATGCAAAGGCCTAATACGTGTGTTGTTCGTAGATTGGATATTTCAAAGAATACGTATAAAAGAGTCTGGCATCTACAGTTAATGAAATACACTTAGCTGCTATCGAGATTGAATTTTGAGGTTGTTGCGATTTTGCCGGTTAGTTATACCCGATACCATGCACTACAGCAACCAAAGGCTGCGGCCGAGGAGCTCGGAGACAGCCGTTGGTCCAGTGGTCTCATTGGGCATGCGTGATTACTGCTGAAATCGCAGACATAAACATGAATAGCGCTTGAAATTGCGGCCATAATCGTCGAGCAACATCGAATACCTTCTTTAGCACGTGCCATGTCCCTAACTGAGAACTACAAGCTATTTACGCCGCTGCAGATGGGCAATAATCTCGTGATCAAGAATCGCATCGTGCTTGGACCCGCCACTCGCGCCCGCATCAACCCAGCCAGCCATGCTCCTAACGAGATGAACGCTATCTACTACGAACAGCGGGCTGGAGCAGGACTCATCATTTCGGAAGGTGTGCCATCTCTGAGCAGGGATTCGGCTGGTATGGTTCGCCTGGACTTTTTACCGAAGAACAGGCCGCTGGGTGGAAGGAGGTTGTCGATCGAATTCACCAGAAAGGAAGCAAAATCTTCGTGCAGCTGTGGCACATGGGCCGGCAATCACACCCACTAGCAATGAAGTGCTGTCGTCCTCTTCCACGGTGCTTGAAGGGGGCCGAACGCGCAGCGCTGACGGCGAGAGTACGGGCTTCGAGCGAGCTCGCGCGTTGACCCTCAACGAGATTCCCGGTGTAGTGGAGCAGTACCGCAAATGTGCTGAGCTTGCCAAGAAGGTGGGCTTCGACGGTGCCGAGGTGCATGCGGGTAGCGGATATCTCATTGATCAGTTCTTGCAATCTTGCACAAACGAGCGCACGGATCAGTACGGAGGGTCGTTCGAGAACCGCTATCGGCTTCTTCACGAAATTGTGGAAGCTGTTAAGACCGTGTACCCGTCGGATCACATTGGTGTTCGAGTCTCCCCTTCGAGCAAGTACGGTGGCATGGGCAGTGTTGACAGCCCGGAGATGTTCACGTACGTTTTCCAGCGCTTGTCCGAGCATGGACTGGGGTACCTGGCGATCTTGGATGGCTTTGGCTTCGGCTACTCAGACAAGAGTCGTCTGATGACTACACTCGACGCCAAAATGCACTTTAAGGGAATCGTGATGGCCAATTGCAGCTACACATGTGACACTGCGGAGGGCGTGATTCGCAGCGGGGCAGCTGATCTCGTGAGCTTTGTACGAGGATTCATGTCAAACCCGGACCTGGTCGAGCGGTTCCAGAACGACTGGCCGCTCAATGATGAGCTCGAGTACGAGTTTTACTGGGACCCTTCAAAGGGCAAGGAGGGCTACATTACTCCTCCGTCCTACCAATCCGGACGCCCCTGCCCGCTGAAGAAGCTGATAATACCACACTTCTAAACGACCGTTGCTACTGCAGCCAGGATGCATGCACCAGCAGAGAGTTTGCCACCTGAAAAAGCAGCGGTGACCACGTTGACTCGATTGCCCACACCCTAATCTGAACCAATTCATATGACTTTTGATATTGCCTTTTGTGTTCTCTGCCGTGTCGAACGTGACAGAAAATATTTGCTTAGGCTTCGGTGGCAAACATTGTCATGCTCTTGTCGTTTGAATTTCGCGAAAGTAGCCTTACCGGTAGCGTGCAAACCAAGCACCATACTTGTACCACCGGACAGGATGATTCGTGCACGGTCCGCATGATTTTCCTATCCATGAAAATAATGAAACTTTGACATAGTTTCAGCTTGATACGCTGGCGCAGGTTGCGGCGAGCGATATCGACACCGTCTCAAGCAGACCGGCGAATTATTTGTTTCCTCTCGGGTTCGAGTTCGACGTATCCTGGGCCCCAGGCTGGGGATACTTTGTGAACATCTGAGGAGCGATGCCGAGGCTGTCCACGGGAAAAGCGACCTTTTCGTGTTGTGGCGGCGGACCCTTCAGAAATCTTCAGCTTTGCCCATTCCGCCCGCCCCCACATCTGCGATACCCGAGACTGCAAAAATCACAGCGTGTGCGGATCAACTCAAACTTTGCCATGTGGCCGAAGTATCGGCTACCAAATTATTTCCATCAGCTGTCTCGTGCCCCACACACGACAGAGTTGCAGTTATAATAGTTTGTACATGGTGCATGTACCCCCGCAAGCATGATCCGAGTTTTTGGTCGCCACAATTGTTGTCAAAAGCGCAAAAAACGGATTGTGGAGATGGGGAGCGTCCACCATTCCGTGCATCTGATTGGCTCGTTGTAAAACGAATCTTTTGAGCCTCTGGGTAAATAGGGAGAAAGCACTTGGCGCCGACGCCATCGGATCGCTCACTTCTCGTTTCCCCCTACATCGCCACAGTTGAAGACCAAGGTGACAATGTCGGAGCACAGTCCGTTGCTCGCTAACGGCGACGAGCACTCGTACAGTGGCGTGAGCAACGACGACCGCTTCTACATGGGCGTGGACAAGCGCTCGCTGCTAGATACGGGAGAGGCAGGTCTCAGCACCGTGGAAGCCTCGCGCCGACTCAAGATCTTCGGCCCCAACGAGCTCGAAACCAAGGAAAAGAGCCCGTGGATCAAGCTGGCCGAGCAGTTCTGGGGCCCCATGCCAATTATGATCTGGCTCGCTATCCTCGTGGAGGCCATCACCAAAGATATGCCTGATTTCTTCGTGTTGCTCTTCTTGCAACTGCTCAACGGCACCGTGGGCTGGTACGAGGAGCTCAAGGCAGGTAATGCCGTCGCTGCACTAAAGGCCAGCCTCAAGCCTGAGGCCCAAGTCATCCGTGACGGCGTGCACCAGACTATTAACGCTGCTCTGCTCGTGCCGGGCGACCGCATCACGCTTTCGGCCGGTTCAGCTGTGCCTGCTGACTGCGATCTGTGCGAGGGCAACGCCGTGCAGATCGACCAGGCTGCGCTGACGGGCGAGTCGTTCCCTGTGACGATGGCCACTGGCGACAACGCTAAGATGGGCTCCACTGTCGTACGTGGAGAGGTGGAAGCTGTGGTGTCCGCTACGGGCGGCCAGACGTTCTTCGGCAAGACAGCGAGTCTCATCTCGTCCGTGGACGAAGTGAGTCACTTCCAGAAGATTTTGATCCGCATCACCATGTTCCTCATGGCCATTTCATTCATTCTCGTGGGCTTCTGCCTCGGCTACCTCATCTACAACGGCGAGGACTTCCTAGATGCGATTGCCTTTTGCGTTGTGCTGCTCGTGGCCTCTATCCCCATTGCTATGCAGGTGGTATGCACCTCCACTATGGCTCTTGGATCCCGTAAGCTTGCAGAAGAGAAGGTCATTGTTACTCAGCTCCAATCGATTGAGACTCTGTCGGGCATGAACATGTTGTGCTCGGACAAGACTGGTACGCTTACCCGCAACAAAATGGAGCTGCAAGACGATCTGCCCATCTTCCACCCGACTGCTACGCGTGAAGAAGTGCTTATCACGGCTGCACTCGCTGCCAAGTGGAAGGAGCCGCCTAAGGATGCTCTGGACACGCTGGTCCTCAACGCGATTGACCTGCGTCCGCTGGACCAGTACACGATGATGGACCACATGCCTTTCGACCCATCGGTGAAGCGTACAGAGTCTACGATCCGCGGCCCTGACGGTAAAGTGTTCAAGGTGACCAAGGGAGCCCCGCAGATTATCCTGGCGCTTGCTCACAACGTGACGGAGATCCAGGAAGAAGTTGAGGTCAAGGTGCTGGACTTGGCCAAGCGTGGCATCCGTTCGCTTGCTGTTGGTCGCACGTCGGACGAAGAGGCTGATGGTGGCTGGGTGTTCCTCGGTATTATGACGTTCCTGGACCCTCCGCGTCACGACACGAAGCGTACCATCGAACTGGCTCACGAGAATGGTATTGGCGTCAAGATGATCACTGGAGACCAGGCTGCTATCGCCGTGGAGACGTGCCGTATGCTCGGAATGGGCACGACTATCCTGGGTACGGATGTCCTGCCCACTGCCAATGTCCAGGACGGTCTTTCGTCGACTCTTGGCTCGGATTACGGCGCTATTGTCGAGAGTGCTGATGGTTTCGCTCAAGTGTTCCCGGAGCACAAGTTCTTGATTGTTGAAGTGCTGCGTCAACGTGGCTGGGTGTGCGGTATGACTGGCGACGGCGTGAACGATGCGCCTGCTCTGAAGAAGGCTGACGTCGGTATTGCTGTTGAAGGCTCGACCGATGCTGCCCGTGCTGCCGCTGATATTGTGCTGACTCAGCCTGGTCTGTCCGTCATCATCAACGCCATCACTCTGTCGCGTAAGATCTTCCAGCGTATGCGCAACTACGTGACGTACCGTATCGCCTGCACGATCCAGCTGCTCATGTTCTTCTTCATCTCAGTGCTGCTGTTCCACCCGGACAGCTGCCGCTTCCAGCACTTCGTCCCGCACGTTGGTGAGTGCCCGTACAACAGCAACGAGAGCACGGAGGCTGTGGACCCGTACTTTAAGCTGCCGGTCATTGCTCTGGTTCTAATCACGATCTTGAACGACGGTACGATCATCTCGATTGCCTACGACAATGTGGTGCCCTCGAAGCGTCCGGAGACTTGGAACTTGCCGCGTATCTACTGGGTGTCGACGACTCTTGGTCTAATTGCTGTCGCTAGCTCGTTGCTGCTGCTCTTCTGGGGTCTCGACTCGTGGGACAAGAACGGAATGCTCGCGTACTTTGGCCTGGGTGACCTCCCGTACGACCAGGTGATGATGATGATGTACCTCAAGATCTCACTGTCCGACTTCATGACGGTGTTCACGGCCCGTACCGACGGTCTGTTCTTCACGCGTGCCCCTGGTCGTCTTCTGGCTGTTGCTGCGTGCTTCGCTACGGTTGTGTCCACGCTTCTGGCTGTGTTCTGGCCGTTCACCGAGATGGAGGCCATCTCGTTCAAGCTGGCTGTGTTCGTCTGGGCCTACTGCTTGGCCTGGTTCTTCGTCCAGGATCTGGGCAAGGTGTTGCTGATCTTCCTGTTGGAGCACGTGGACCACATGAACGTGTTTGAGCGCAAGGTCAGCAGCAAGAAGTACGTCAAGCAGGAGGCGCAGCGCCAGAACCGTATTCGTATGGGCTCTACCTTTATGAACAACGACTCGTTCATGCGCGGCTCGTTTGTCGCCGGACGTGCTGTGGGTGGGTCCTTCGTGGAGCGCAGTATGACGCTGGAACAGGCGATGGACCGCCTGGTGCGTCTGGAGGCGGAGATGAAGGCGATCCGTGCTGTTATTCAGAACGCTTCGGGTACTGGCAAGGTTTAAAGTGACTCCGTTTGATGCAGTGGCGATGCAAGTCCGCACGCTCTGCACTAGTGATGTTCATAGTTCTAGATAGTGAGTACCGGTATCTTACAGATCGGAGTTGCAGTGATAGAAGAGTTGGGCGTCAATGCAAGCTTGTTAACCTCGCTAAAAGGCTTTATAGTACTGGTATCATAAATTCCGTCTTTAACTGGCACACAAAGAACCTTTTCAAAAACCATGGAAGCCGCTGTGACCACTGATCATTGGACGTTTGCTCTGTGAGCAAGCGTCCGTCAGCAGGAAGGTTGAGCTCGACGTCTAACATGCCCAGTGTATCTTGATTCAAGATATCGCCACCACCACCAGATTGACCATCGACGCGTTTTTTTTTTCGATGGGCGGTTCGTTCCTTGTGCCGACAGCAACTTGTACCTCCACGTTGACGAGTTTGGTGCTGGCAATTGGTTGCAGCGGCAACGTCCGGTACAGTACTGCAGATCGAGCGCGGCATCCCGACTGCAGCCACAGTCTTTCACGACACTTGTTGCAAGGCGACAAGCAAGTGCAACGTTGATCGACATACTTGGCGCAAGTCAACCTGCAACGGAGATATTAAGGTGATGGACTGCTAAAGATAGGTCTCCGATTGGGCTGTGTCCCACCACGCAATCTTATTCGCTGAAAATGTAGTAGCCACGTACGTCACCAAATGCACATCTACCTGACCTAGGACCTGCTGCTCACACTCCAATTTGCCCCGTAGACCTCAAGACATCAGGCGAACGTGCCTCGTCACACGATGGAGCCGCTCAACGATGAGGAGCGCCAGTTGCTACTGTCCCCGCCACGTCGCAGCACTCCCACACAGACTCACGCGCCGTCCCACATGGTGTTTGAGCCCCCACCACTGCGTCGCGACGCTGGCGGCACTTCACTGCACTTTACCAAGCAGCCATCCGTTCAATCACCAGCCAACGAGTCGCTGCCAATCACTGCGCTCAAGGCCGAATCTCCGCACTGTTACTCGCCCTACGGGACTACCAGGTTGTCCGTGGAATCGTGGGGCTCGCACCGCAACGCGACTGACCCGCTCCACGGCTGGGAACACGGCGTCATGGAAGCTCTACACGCTGCCCCCTGTATCGCCATCGCAGTGCTGGTCAACTTGATGATCTGTGTCCCGTTCGGACTGTCCTTCTTCCCACTGGAATGGCAGGACATCCCCGTGCCACACGCTCTTGGCATTCAAATGTTCTTACTGTCGTCCACAATCTGCCAGTTTACATTCGTGTGGCTTAGCAACTTCGACGGAACCATTTGCCAGATGATGGTCGAGAACGTGCCGTTCATGCACACGATCTCTGTGGCTATTATCCAGGAACTCGGACCCAAGAACCCGAGCGTACTACCGACAATTCTAGTTACCTACGCGCTCTCATCTGTGGTCTGCGGAGCGCTGTTCTACGTGCTGGGACACTGGAAGCTCGGCAATATTGTGTATCTCTTCCCGAAACACATTATCGTAGGCGCGGTTGGTGGTATCGGCGCCTTTGTGCTTCAGAGTGGTATTGAAAACGCTACAGGACGTGGATTTGACTGGTCGTGGGACGGTGTCAAGGGTCTATTCGATGAAGAAATCGTTTGGCTCTGGGTCAGCTCTGCTTTACTAGCACTGACGCTGTGGATACTTGCTCGTCATATAAAGTCGCCGTTGTTCCCTCCGCTCTTCTTCGTGTCGATTCCGCCACTTTTCTACGTGGTGTTGCTATTGCTTGGCATCTCGACGGACGCGGCTCGTGAACTTGGCTGGTTCTTCAGTCATGCCCCGAACGTTGCGTTTTATTCGCTATGGGAGCAGTACGACTTCTCTCTTGTTGCGTGGCATGTTATTCCGAAGCAGTTCGGAACGATCGTCAGTCTCACGTTCTTCTCACTGATGCACGTGCCGATTAACATCCCGTCGCTGAGTCTCACGACTGATAAGGAAGTGGATATCAACGATGAGCTCGTAGCTCATGGTATCTCCAACACATTGAGTGGAGTGTGCGGTACTGTGCAGAACTACCTCTGTTACTCGACTTCGGCATTATATTTCAAGTGTGGAGGTGCTGGACGTCGCAGTGGCTTCGTGATCGGCCTGATCATGATGTTTTTCTTCTTCGTTGGACCCAATGCCGTATCCTACATCCCTCGGTGCATGGCTGGTTGTGTGATGATGCATCTGGGATGGGATTTACTTCGAGAAGCGCTTATCGACACGTACGACCAGCTAGATGCGCTGGAGCTTGGTACAGTGTGGGCTATCGCTGGAACGATGACGTTCTGGGGCATGAACCAAGGTCTGGCTGTCGGAGCGTTGCTGGCTTGTATGACCTTCGTGATGCAGAGTGCACGTACACCAACTAACGCTCCAATCCGAGGCAGTATGAGCGCAGCAACGCTGCGTAGCCACGCGTGGCGCATGACGGATGAGCTGGATGTGTTGGACCGCGAGTGCCGTAACATCCACGTCGTGCAGCTGAAAGGCCACCTTTTCTTCGGTAATATCAACCAACTCAGTGACTACGTTCGCGAATTGTTTGAGGAAGGTCATGACACGGCAAGTAGTGGGGTGGAGTCTCCACTTCAGAGCGTACTTAGCGACGATATTCGACCCAGGGCCGATATCCGCTGGCTCGTACTCGACTTCACGTTGGTCGTGGGATTGGATTCGTCTGCAGCAGATCGACTCACTAAGATCAAGTACGCGTGTGATACTCACAACTGCAAGATTGTGTTTGCTGCTGTGCCAAAGGCTTATGCGAAGTTCACGGAGCATTTGATCGATCTATTTGGTGACAACTGTATGCTCCATGTTGCTTCAGATCTGGACAGTGCGCTTGAGTGGTGTGAGGATGATATTCTGGGCAAGAATGCGTGTAAAGAAGGCTCTCCTGCGAGTACCTGTGCTGCCGATGAAGACGAGCTCACACATCTGCGTAACCTGCGGAGATTCATGCCGGACCAGCCGCTTTCAGTGCAACAAAGGCTGCTGGATTACTTCCAAATCCAGGAGATCGACAAGGACGAAGTGGTGTGGAGACAAGGCGACACCTCGGATCGTGCTCTGCTGTTAGTGGATGGAGCGCTCACTGCTGTGGTCGAGGAAGAGGCTGGCACTACTGAAAAGGTGTCGATAGGCTCGGTAGTAGGCGAGATGTGCTTTTTGACGGGTGAGAAGCGCAAGACTTCGCTTATTGCAACTAAACGCAGCGTCGTCTACGTCTTGGACCGCAAGAGTTTCGCGGAGATGTTGGAAAAGGATTGCTATCTGGCGTTTCTCTTCCAGGGCATTTCATTGCGCTATACGTCGTACAGATTACAATACGTGGGCAACCGCATCTGGGAGACCAAGTGTATGCCGATCTAGAATTTTAGATCGGTCATTTGTATAATCCAAAAACAAATAGGTTAAAAACTATTTAAAATACGTTTTTTCACGCTGAGGATGTAGCTAGGATTCGCTTAATATCCGTGCGCTGTCTTTTCATAGGTGGTTCTTTCACGACACGCTTCAAAACAATAATAAGCACGTGCACAGGACCTTTTCCAGCAGAACACTCGGTTCGCCTAGTTCACCACTTGTCAGCCCAACGGATAATAATATCTTGTCCTGAATGCTTAAAACCTTGCAGGCCTTACTGTTAACGTTCTTCACACCTATCAGAGCGTCATTTTGCGTCAGCCGCTCGCCACCTTCCGACTTCGCCAGGCGGAGTTGTAGCTGGCCGGCTTCGACCGCAATTGTGAGCGGCTTGACAGCCTCGATCGCCTGCTTTAAATGGCCCACCGTCTTACATTCGTCTGTGTCGGCAGGAAAAATACTCCCAACCAATGCACTGAACTGTCATCGTCATCTTTTCTACTTGAAGTCCAGCGTAAATGCTATTTCCTTCATTTCGCCAGAAATACACCACGAAAAAGCAGGATATTGACGATACGAAATTTTGAAAGCGTTAAGATTTTTGTACGGTACAGTACTTTATATAAATTGGCTACACTCCTGTCATGGCTACACTCCCCGCCACTCGTAAAAAGCGAATTCGAGAGAGGATGGAGCTTGTGCAGCTACTGGAGGGAAGTCTATCGGCGGCCACAGATGTGCGTGCGCAGAGCGAGGCTCGCTTGACGGAGCTGCTGCGGACCCCTGGCTTCGCACTTCAGCTCGGCGAGTTTCTCTTCTCCGCTGAGGCGTCTGAAGCGCAGCGTCAGTTGTCCGCATTGCTACTCAAGAAGCTTGTTACGTCTTATTGGGTGGCTAGCGAGGAGACTATCTACGTAGTCCCGGAGAACGAGAAGACGCAAGTCAAGCAGGCGCTCGTGCTAGCTCTACAGCAGCGTCTGGAGCTCTTCGCCGGTAGCAAACTACAAACCGCCTTGTGTCTCATCTTGACCGCCATCTTCGAGCGCGACTGGCCCGACCAATGGACCGAGATCCTGCCAGCGATTATGGCCATGATCTCGGGTCAAGATAAGCTTCGTATCGACTTTGCCGTGCGCTTTCTATCGCTTTCAGGCGGTCATTTCTCCAGTGACAATTGCTGCGAGCTCGTGGCCTCCGTCTTCCCGCACTTACGCCGCGTCTTCGTGCTCACAAATGAGTTCCCCGCCGGTACTCGATCCAGAATTGCTCGCATCGTACAGAGCAGCCTGCTAATGGTCGGAATGGAGGCCCAGGTAGGCAACACGACGGCCCGTCAGCTGCTACACGAGAACACGACGCAATGGATCGCGCTATTCCTCGAGCAACTGGCCGCACCAGCGCACAACGTCAAGGACTATTCGATCAAGATCCAGATCCTGACGACGCTCGCGAGTTTCGTGCGTGAATGGCCCAAGGAGATGACGGAGCTGATGCCTCAGATCATGCCTCAAGTGTACGGTCTTATGCTCAACGACGCTGAAGCTTACGAACATCAAGTGGTTCTGAACTCCTCCGAGGAAGAAGAAGGCTACGACAGTGATGGAGAGGGCGCACTGATTGGTCGAAGTGCCATGATCGTCGCTGCCTTCGAGTTCGTGCGTGGAGCCATCCAGACCCCCACCAAGAAGACCCGACAGCTCATTGTCGGTGGATTGGCCGACTTTGTGTTCGTTATGATTGGCTACATGCAGATCACAGTGAGTCAGATGGAGGCGTGGCAGGAGGATCCCAACAAGTACGTGGCTGATGAGGACGACGAGAGTCTGGCGTTCAACGTCCGTAACGCCGCTACGGACTTGCTGACAGAGCTGGAAGCTGTGCTGGGTCGTAAGGCTGTTGTGGCTGCTCTGGATGCTGCGCAACGTCGTCTTAAGGCTGAAAACTCCAACAACTGGCGGCTCCAGGAAGCGGCGCTGCTGGTCGTTGGCTGTTTGGCTGGACCGACACTTGATGCCATCAGTAAGAACGCTGCTGATATCTCCCAGTTGATGGATCTATCGGCGTTCTTGCAGACGTTGTTCAAGGTCATGAATGCAGGCAGTCAGGAGATTTATTTGCGTGCTAGAGCGCTGTGGTGCGCCAGTCGCTTGGCTAAGGGGATGAACCAGGAGATGCTGGACGCTTTCCTTCAAGTGGCGATCTCGGGACTTGAGCAGGGCCAAGTGCTGCCTGTTCGGATGTACGCTTGTCGCGCTATTGGAGCAATTATCCGTCACGATACAGGCAAGGCTCGGCTCCAGGAGGCTAGTGTTGTTATCATCGACCGCCTGACCATCTTGGCTGAGCAGTCGACGAACGAGACGCTCCATATTGCGCTTGAGACGTTGGTTGTGGTGCTTCAAGAGTCCGAAGCGATCGCTCTGGAGTCGGCGCAACGTGTTGTCGCGTGCTTCTTGCACCACTGGAGCCAGAACCTGAACGATCCATTGATCAGTGAACTCATTGACGGCGCCTTTGGAGCGCTCTTGCAACTGGACAATGCTGTTATTACTGCGAAAGTTCACGAACAAGTCTTACCTGTGATTCGTTCCATGCTAATTCAAAGTGCGACGGACCTGGGAGATACTGGCAATGGCATTTACACTGCTGGCAGTGCGTTGACGATCCTCAAGACGCTGCTACGACACTCGTTCGCTTCCAGTGGCACCGTGTCTAGCGGCGGGACTGATCCTACTACCCAGCAGCTTGGAGCGCAGGTGGTTCAGCAGACGTTCGAGCCTGTGGTGACTGTGCTCGGAGCTGTGGAGGACGAGAAGGTGCTGAATGCTGGCTCGGAATGCCTCAAGTGGCTCGTGATGTTTGCTGTTGACCCTCTGGCCGCGTACACTACTGCTGCTGGCACCAACGGCATCGACACGACGCTCTCTGTCTCCGCCAAACTGCTGTCTCCTGCTGTCTCTGATGCCAGCGCTACGTGCGTTGGTGGATTGATTACCCAGATCCTGCTCAAGCTCGGCCCCAGTCTGCCCACTGCGACAGTGCAGTCGATCCTTAGTGCTGTCTGCGCTCGACTGGCGGCGACTGAGTTGCCGTCTCTGGTGCAGTCTCTGTGCATGGTGTTTGCTCGTCTGGTTCACTCTCACGGCCCCGAAATCCTGAATGTATTGGAGCAATTGCCGCCTCCTGCAGCCTCTACTGGCCAGACACAGGCTCCGAACATGCTGACGTTTGTATTCCGCACTTGGATCGAGAAGCAGCAGGATTTCTATGGACTTTACTGCATCAAGGTGACGATGAGTGCTTTGCTCAAGGTTGTCGAGTGGAATGACCCTCGTATCAATACCATCACGGTCACTGGCAGCGCTGTGGACTCGGCAAACAACGATGCTGCGGGTATCCGGACCCGGTCGAAGGCTCGAAGCACTCCTGCTAGCGCACAGATGCAGTACACGACGGTGCACTTCTTGACCAAGTTTGTGGTCATTCTGGCGAAGACAATGTCCAACTTGGCGGAGGATGAAGAAGAGTGGGAATCGTCCGATGACGACTCGTCCGATGGCGAAGGAGACGATGACGCTGTCTCTGGAGCTGGTGGCTCCTCGGTGTTCGCTCCTGCTGGTGAGTTATTGAAGTGCTATGCGTGGCTTTATCTTATCACTGAGCTAATCTTGCTATGAGCAGAAAAATACGAGCTTCTGTCGGACCGCTTGGATGGTGATGGCGCTGTGGAAGTCCGTGATGGTGAAGAGCCAGAAGAAGAGTTCGAAGCGTACTTTGACCCTCTCAACGAGGTGGACCTAAAGGTAAGCAGCGGCTTGTGTTGACCTTGTTCTGTGAGGTTTATCTAATTGAACTTGTACAGGGTGCTATTCCCCAGGCGCTACAGAACATCACGGCCAATGCTGGCTTGCTCGGGGCGATCATGCCCGAGCTGACGGCTGCGGACAAGGAAGCGCTTGCTGCTGTGTCGGCGCTGTCGGCGTAGACTTGATGGTCTACTCTGCAGTGATGTTCACCACCTCATGTTAAAGAAAATCTCACACTGTTTTTGACTTGATAACTGTCTTTATGAGTGTTTTTTGTGCTTTGTTTTTTCAGGCGAAGGCGCACCGACTTGATCCCAGCGTATGAGCCTCAGTCTGCGAGTCAAGATCAAAATACCGCCAAGCTCATTCCCCTCAGGATCAAGACGTATCTCTTCCAATAAGTATTTCAGTCTGTGCAGCTTCATCATGGACACGTTGTAGTCCAGAGCTGCGAGCAAGTCCAGTGCCCACAGCGCTTGCTGACCGATCTCCGTGGGTGTGAAGTCCACGCTAGCTAGAGCCTCGAGAGAAGTGGCTTGTCCGGACGCGTCGACAGGAGGTGGCGGTGGAGCTTTCTTGGTCTCCAAATACCCCAACCAACCAGCCGATTCGGGACACTTCGCTAACTTGGCGAGACGATCTGCTTCGGCCCGTTCGCTGGCTTTCTTCTCTCGCTGCATCTCTCGAGCTTTAAACAGCAACCGGATCGAGCCTTCAATGCCTCCAGTTTGTCCTACAAGTTTGGCATGTCGCTCTTCAAAAAGTAGTTAAAGTAAGGATTCCGATCTTTTCAACTTGGATATTGGGCTTACCTTCAGTTGCTACGAAGGAGATAAAGCGGCACACGTGGACGTACAAGCTCAAGTATTTACCGACATCAAACCGGTTCAGTGTGTTCGTGACGAGTGTTGAGACTGCGAACGTGTCGAGCTCTGCGAAAAGTGCCAAACGTTCAATTTCCACTGGATCAGCAACTTTCCTGTTGCCTTGCTCTTCTTGTTGACTCGTTCGAGACGGTGAGCACTGGCGAGCTTGGACATCAGCGAGCAGCGAGCAGATTCGTCGAACTCCAGCGAGCTGGACGATGGCGCTGTCGTGGTTTTCCTTCATCATTTCGACTACAGTAGGGATGTTGCTGATAATGATACGTCGTACCGCGTTGCCACCGCCATAAACTGCGGAGAAAATGGCTTTCACGTCATTTTTCACGAAATCATCCAAGGGATTTTCAATCGCTGCGTGGTTAAGCACAGCGGGTCCGTCCCATTCTTCCAATTGTTTCCTCCCTTCTTGGCAAAACATCATCAACCGGAGGCAACGGATACTTGTTCGTAGTATTGCTATCCTAAAACGTGGCACTTCATCAGGTGGCACGATCACAAATTTCGGGAAAGGTTTGTTTTTGCGCCAAGGAGGGTCATACCATTGCCTAAAAGTGTCGAGATCGGGCGACAATTCTAATTTGCGATAATTGCGTACTGCATGTAACAACGCTTCAGTCACGGCTGAGTGTTCGGAGAGTAATTCCACCTCAGTAGAGGCCTCTTCGAGCACTCGTTTGTCCGAGATGACAACGTCCATGGAGATTTCTTCCAGCGGATTGTCACGATCGGTACCTTCACCCAACTCCGCCGTATGAAGGAAATACTGCACCGCTTGAGGACATGGCAACACACACGATGAGTGTGCTTGGACGACGGTACGCTTTGTGTCCACGTACCTGCCAGAACAGGCTCGAGAAACAATGGATAGTGCTGTACAATTAGCACGTGGGTATGGATCTCACCACGTAGTTCAGACACTGCGCCACCCATGACTTTATCGGACTGCTGAGCACTCAAAGAGACACTTCTTTTTCGAGAGCACAATAAATGGCATGATGATGCTTTTTTTCCCTGCTTCATTGCATTTTTATTTATTTTCCATGTGTCGTGCATGCACAGACAAAATGAGATCTTTTTTTTCTGTGTTTCTGAGTTGTAAAGTTCTCCATGAGGAAAAAAAAGAGGTCACACGTATTTAGGCCTCGTCCTTGTGGGAGTACTGCTTCTTGCCGCGGAGCTGCATCTCGCCGATCATCTCGAGGTTCTTCTGCACGGCGTCGGCTGTTCGCTTCTGGAATTTCCACTGGCCGTCGTGCTTGACGACCACATCGGACCACGTGACTACCATGACGGGCGTGCACTTCCAGAAGACCGTCGTGTGTGACGTCACTGTGGCATTCTCAGAGTCCGAGAGCTCCACCACGTGGCCGCTGGGCAGGTGGCGCGTGTCGGCCACGAATTTGAGCTCAGCCAGCTCATGCAGAGCCGCCTCGATCTCGCTCTTGCCGGAGCAGTTGCCACCCACGAGCTCCTCGAAGAAAGTAGCGTCCTCCGTGAAGAGCGCCAGCAGCGTCTTGACCGACTTGTCGCCGTCCTCCAGAGAGTACGAGAGCGCGAACTTGTTCACGAGGTTAATGATCGCCGCCACGTCAGCCATGGTCTCAATAGTTGTTCACTTTTGTCACTTGGGTAGCTTCAAGTCGGATCTGGAAGTGAGGGGATTCGGATAATTGTCGGGTTGGTCACGACCAAACGACATCCACGATTTAGGGAATCTTTTATCGTAATTTAGGGACGAATTACGGAAAGCGACATGAACTGCACGTGTTGCAATGCGTCTACAAGACGACTGCACGAGAGGGGCCATGCTCGATTGGTTGTGTACGTTCATGGAGAGTCTTTGTGAGCGCCGAGTCAGAGTCAGCGTCGCCGACGGCACAATGAAGTGTGAGCAAAAATAAGGTGGCTTGCTCTATTCAGGACACCCACCAAACGAGTTTCTTCGGAGAAGCTATCAAGTGAAAACACTAGCGTCGGGTCTTAGCCTTATTCTCGCTGAACTCAATCAAGATCGCAGGACCATCGAGGAAATAAATCCGCTGCCTTACACCCCTTCAGCAATCTCGCACGTTGCAACGGTGCGGATTATTTGCTTGTGTTGACGGAGTCTTAGCGACTTAGGAACGGACAATTGAACTACATGTCATGTGCTCGTTGTGATCCAACGTCGCACTCTTGCACATCCGCTGCTTCTGGAGCACCCCAAGTGCCGTTTCCTATTATAATACCAGCATTATGCTTCTCGGCGACGGGCGCTAGAGCACCGGGAGTTGCTTTGAAACCAATTAGAAGAAAAAGAAACCTTCCGCCCCGTTAAGGATGGTGGCGTCTTCTGCCTGTCTAGGCAACGGCTGTCCTTATATGGCGATGCAAGTCACACGCCGAAGCTGAAGTGACCTATTCGAGGCAAAGACCTATTCACGCGATTAATTCATGGCCAAATTTAGGTCCCTCGAGTCGTTCTAAAAAGGAGAAGCGCCCCCTCTCCGCTCGCTCACTCTGCGTCGTCTCGACCGCCTTACAAGTCGCCCTCTTCCTTCGCCTTTCAATGACCCTGAGCTTGCTGAGCTTGACTTGGTAGCGCGCTGACTATTAATACCTGATACCTGAAAGCCTGAAAGCCTGGAAAGCCTACAAAACTTTGGTCAACTGAGGTGAGTGCACCCATTCCGAGCTCTTCCAAATCCCATCCTTCAGTGTTCTAATCGGCTGCTTCCTCCCAACAGCACCTCGAATGGATTCCAGAACCAAGAAGCGTGACGACACGCCCATGGACCCCGCTGCCCGCAATGACAACGCCACCTGGAGCTTCGTGCAGATGAACATGACGTTGCTCCCCATTGCGCGTCCACTGCCGGTCAGTGTCGGCCACAAGTTCCATGAAGGAGCCGCATTGGCAGGCGTCAAACCCTGTACCCCCACTCAGAAATTACACCATCGATTACGCCAAAAGACAAGCAATATCAGTCCGAGACGACACGATGTAGACTACAACAATGTGCGTCCCGCGACTGCAACGTCTCCCAACACTCGGGGACTGCCCCCTACTCCCCGATCGACGGGCTGTGGAGCCAAACGCAAATATTCTGAAACCTGGCACGTTCCAGCTGCTATTAGTATAGCATCGATGCCCCCAGCATCGCTGAGATCGCAGCTGAGTGAGACTTGTATCCTCTAGTCATGGAGTGACAGTGAGTATGCCAGTGACCCGGCGAAACGAACACCATCGGGTTACAGCCCACTACACCGGAGCTCCAGCTTATCCTCGGGCTGTGCGGCCAGGGGAGTGTACAAGGGTAAAAAGATTCTGGAGCTACAGGACGAAGATCGCCGACTCCACCCGGATGATCGTGTCACGGCCCCCTCGCCGTCCAAGCGGGGCAAACACCAGCCCTAATTCAAAAGGCTTACCCCTGGCGGGTGCGACGCTGCTTGTCACGTGGTTGACCGTCGATTTGTGTTCTTGATGGTAAATCCACAACTGAGTTCGAATTAGATGCTTACAGCTTTGCTACTCGCTCTGCTAACTAGTCCTGCTGTCCTAGGCGCTCGTAGTGCTAGCTGTCTAATCCTACTTCAACGTCAAGCATATGTAGTTGCCTTCTTCCACTGGAAGGCTGGTCAACATGGCGCACCTGCTGGTCCCAGGGAGCAGCACGTCATCTTCTGAGTAGCACGTGCGCTCTGTGCTGCAGGTGCGATGGAGAGCATCTTACTGCGGCTGCTCACACTGCTATCGCTATATTCCACGGCAAATACTTTGATGCATGTCGTACTTAATTAACACGTAGGAGCATTATCTATTTTTTGTACGAACAAATTCCTCTGAGCAGTATTGTTTTCGACGTCTTGAGAGCCCTGGCATTTCAAAAATGCTGGCTCTGAATTAAGCTGTGATGGTCTCGTCTTGAATCTACAGACAAACGTGGAGTTGTATTGTGCAAAATGGCTATTAAATGCAATGAATTGCCACGCAATACGGTTTGCGTATGGAATCTAATGGAATTGAGCCTCAATTTGGGGATATTGGAGCAAAAAGGGGAATCAGAATTATGCCCAGAAGGTTAATTTTCACGCGGGGTGAAATTATCGAAGTAGCGACTGATCTGTCCGATGCACAGCTCCTGCGTCGCCTCTGGCATATCTTCGATAAGTTTCCCTGCACAGGTCAAACAGCACACGTTAGCTTTACGCCACTACCGGCACTAGACAATCTGTAACCAGAGTACCTGGGATGCCACCAATCCTGGAGAACGGCGGGATGGCTGCGTCAGCGGGCACCACAGTGTTGTCTTCAATCCGGCAGCAGTCTCGAATGATCGCACGCTTGCCCTGCACCACACAGAGCTCTCCATCAGGAACGAACGTCTCGAGCCTTTGCAACAATGAGAATAAACCCATACAATGACACAATTCTTGCCGATCTGCACATACGACCCGACCATGGCAGCCTCCACGACTGTGTCCTCGCCAATGTACACGTAGTCACCGATTTTCACCGGGATAAAAGCCAGTCCTCTGGTCCACATAGAATACCACATTGTAAATAAAATACTGGAGCCTCGTTAGGAAAGTTGCAGAATTTACAGCGCCGTACGTGGACACGACCCTTGTCGGCGGCTTGACGATACAATTTTCTCGGATAATGCACTGCTTTCCGAGCGACACTTTGGCTAAGTCTGCCCGGACGATGGCTCCTGAATTGACAATTGTCTGCGAGCATAAAGTATAAGAATCTTTAGTTCAAACATGGCTTACGACGCTTTTCTACATGTAGTAGATTTGGCGACTTTTTGACGCACCTTGCCGCGTAAGTGGATATTATGGGCGCCGCAGAGAGTGCATTTGCGGCTGATCTTGTTGCCAGTGGACGTGTGGATGTACATCTGTGGGTCGAACTGCTTCTCGGGTGCCTCCACGTACGGGTTCATTTTTGCAACGTGATTCTTAAAACTAATGATTGGACAAGTGTTGCACGAATGTTGCTCACTGCTCTAAAGCAAATCAAAAACAACATTAAATCTTTAACGTGTTTTTTCGTCATCTCGAGCACTTAACACAGCAATCGAGGTGTACACCATAGCTGCCGTTGACTGAGGCCCTCCTTAAATTTAAAGAAGTGCGATACAAACTGTCCGCAATTCTTGCTAAGACTGATTGAGTTAAAAATCGTGGTGCTTGGTGTGCACAAGTATTCATAGTATTAATCGGCATTAAAATATTGTTAATGACTTTCACTTTTCATTGTCTTTTCCTTTACGGTTTGCTTCGCCGAAAATCTTTCGTCGGATAGTTTTGTCCAGGTAGTTCTAAAGCCATTTTCTATTGGCGTTTAGTAAGTGAGATCGTTTTTCGGGGTTCTCAGGATGATAAAAGGCTGGCCCTGGCACACTTCCTTTCTGATACTTCATTCCTGTTCCTTCTGCCCTCGACGTTTTCGACTTAAATACGCTAGCAGAGCCTTGTTTTTCTGCTAGCTTTTCTGCCAGTGTCGATACTTCATACGTTCCCGGACCTGCACACCACAACAAAGGTCTGCGTGAGCTACTATTCCCTCTATACGTCGACTATTATACGATTCTTACCGAGTTCTCCATCCGTCACGATCTTTCCTGGTAAGCGTCCGAAGCGGTCTATGGTTCCAGCTTGAAAGGCAGCACTTGTGTGAGCTCTTGCCACCTGGTCATATCGAAGTGCGGTTTCTGCATCCTCAGCATTGTACGCTCCTGGTCCAGGAGTTAGAGAGGCATCTGACCCCAGACGCTTTACGGATGATTTGAATACAGATTGAGAAGAGCCACGGAGGGATCGTGCTAGTTGAATGGGATTTTCATACTGCCCTGGAGCAGGAATTTCGGTCGGAATTTGCCACCCTCGGGTCGTTTTGGAAGAGAAAACAGACTTCGAGACATTGTGAGAATACGCCAATGACGGTTGCTCTGCGTTGTAGTCGCCAGGTCCTGGAGCACAAGTACTCTGGTTTTGATTGTTGCTGCGCTTGGGCTGCCATTCACATATATGAATGAAAATATCTGAGCATGTAGATTGATTTTGATCTAATCATCACTTACCGCGTTAGCAAAACTGCTCATTCCGTGCTTCTTGTTCTGTGTCTGACGATCATCTCTTATTTTGTTGGAATCGTGCCAAAACTGTGAGTAAATAATATTGGCAATGCAAAGAAGCTAGAGTTTTCAAGGCACCTGGTTGGCTGGTATTGTCCAGGCCCCGGCACGACATGCTTGACCTGCTCATTGAATCGCTTCGACTTAGATACGAACCCTGTGCTGTACCCCAACCGAGACACCGATCCCGAATCTAAGGTCGAGCGTACGAGACTTGGTGGTTTGTAGTAGTGACCAGGCCCGGGTAACTCGTTCTGTAAAGCAAATTCAGCATATAACCTTTATCACAACTCAATTCCCCTTTAGTTTCCACTGTATACGAACCTCGCAATCACCAAAGCGCTGCGTTCGATTGCCAAAGCCATTGCGTTCATTCGGGTCACGATGCAAAACAGTCTCGTACTTGGACGGAATTGACGATATTTTCTAGTAGCAGAACATTTAGTCATCTCTCATCTGCACAACGCCAAAAAAAAAAACAGTACCATGTTTGGGTCAGGTGGTGCTTGTCTGCGCACTGCTAAAACTGACCCTGTAGGTTTCGTTCCCACTTGTCGGAAATTTGGTTTCGACTGCAGATCCTCAGCGTGATACATCGAAGCAGGGAGCTTCATTTTTACTTTACCACTTCTCGGCTAAGGCTTCAAATAATAGGTCAATCAGTGGCTTGGTGATCTCCCATGTTGGAAATGCTCCAAAATCTAAAAATATCCAAGAATGATTTCAGTTTATAATTTATGAGAGACCAATTCCGTTCATAGAGAAAAAAAGTCGAATGACGTCAGCGCTGGAGCCACAAGTGACCTTCGGCTTGGTGGCCGATGTGCAGTACGCAGACGTGAAAGACGGATGGGACTTCCACCACATCTCCCAGCGGTACTATCGCAATGCGCTACCGCAGTTGCAAGCCACAGTGGCGGAGTGGCTACGCGTGGCCATAGGCGGAGCGAAACTCCGCTTCGCCGTGAATCTGGGAGACCTCATCGATGGCAAGAACCGACCGGCCTCCACGTCTCGACAAGCTTTAGAGAGCACTAAAGCAGCGTGGAAACCGTTCCAAGATGCAGTGGGTCCAGTTCATCACCTGGTTGGCAACCACGAGCTCTACAACTTCCCCGCCTCGGTCATCCAGAAGGAACTTCTATATCAACCTTCAAAGACGTCGAATAATGCGCCACAGCGTAGTTACTACGATTTTCAAGTACCCGAAGCACCCAAATACCGCTTCGTTGTGTTGGATTGCTACGGGCTATCGATCCTCGGACGGGAGAAGGATGACCCAGTGTACCAGGAAGCTATGGCCTTGCTGCGTCAAGTGAACCCGAACGAGAACCTCAATTCTCCGACGGGTCTTGTTGAAGAGCAGCGAAGGTTCGTAGCTTTCAATGGGGCGGTGGATCGAGAGCAGATGAAATGGTTAGAGAAGACGCTTGTAGAGGCAACGGAAGCTGGAGAGAATGTGGTCATCTTCACACACGTCCCGATCCACCCGAGCACTTCGCCAACACCTGCAAGTTTGTTGTGGAATTACCCGGAAGTGTTGGAACTTATCCGGCGCTTCCCGTGCGTCCGCGTCGTCTTTTCAGGCCATTCTCATGCTGACGGATACGTGTACGCCCATGAAGGGATGCACAACAGAGGAGTTCACTTTGTCGTGTGTGACGCCATCCTCGAATGTTCTCCGTCGGAGACTGCGCATGCTTTGGTGCACGTGTTCGAGGACAAACTGGTCGTACAGGGCTATGGCAAGATCCCCACACGCGAACTGCGTTTCCCGACGGATAATACATTGTCAGAAGAGTGAAGATGCTCTTGAAATTGTTAGACGAGAAGAGAGACCAGCTTCAGTTGAATCGAATCAACAGAGAGACTGGAGGAGTAGGATACCAAGGGATTCGCCAGTGTAATAGAAATGGAGAATATGTTAACACAGCACAAGCCACAGCGCCTGCGGTCGACGTTCGATTTTGCTTCAGGCGTTGTGTTCTTATTTACGAGCCGAGTCTTTTATTAACTCAGAGGTTCGGCTAGCCGGCTACTACTACAATAAGTAGATCGGCTGACGTCACCTTTTCCGCCTTGCCTGCGTCTGCAAAGTTGCTGTCTCCTGCAAAAGGCTCTGTTATTTTATCAGAAGAGAAAATGATGAAGCTTGGGGTCTAGCACGTTTGCTGCCGCTTGAAGAGAATATAGAGTATCAACTTAGTGGTGCTCATCCTTCTTCTCAGCGTGAGCGTGTCCTGTGCAATGCAAAATAAGATCTGTCAGATCGCTACATCTTCGAGCTTTCATAGTTGATCAAGTACTTACTGTGGTGGCACCACCACTCGACAGCGCAGCCCGCGCCGCCCACGATGAGCATCATGTGCGCGATCGGCTTGAAGCTGCCGCTGTAGATGAAACGGTTGCCGTAGCCCTGGGCCCAGGCGTTAAACTTGTTGGTGGGAGGGTTGGCCGTGCGGGCAGCGATACCAGCGCGAGCGCGGTCCACCAGGTTGGCGGTGGCGGCACGCGAGGCCTGGTACTCCTGCGCCAGCTTCTCCGGGTTGCTGTCGGCCAGGCGGCGGATCTCGTCCAGCGTGTACTCCTTGGTCATAATGGCAATAGGTTCCTTCCTGGACTGCTGGCCGTTCAAAGAGTCTGCGGCGGACGGGCGGCGCAAGGGGAGAGACGACGATTGGTTGAATATTTCTTCTGAGCATCTATTGGTTTTTATCCTCTTGTCAAAGACGGTTTGCTATTGACCAATTGCAGAATGCAAATTTAGTGACCCAGTTTTGTAGTTTGAAAGTATCCAAATCTGATTCTGTAGATTATCATATTCCGATGGTGCGTCTCGTCAGGTTCAGACGTGAAGCACCAAAGGTACACTCGACAAAGCACCCGGACGTGACTATGAGCAAATACCAGCACCTTCTGCAACCTCTAGACCTGGGCTTCACGCAACTCAAGAACCGCGTGCTAATGGGCTCCATGCACACGGGACTCGAGGAGGGCAAGTCGCTCACTCGCCTCGCCGCCTTCTTCGCCGAAAGGTCCGTTCCAGTGTATCCAAAACAATTCCCATTCTTCTAATTGCAATTGTTGCTGCTGTTCAGAGCCAAAGGCAACGTCGGTCTTATCGTAACTGGAGGCATTGCACCCAATCGAGCAGGTCGTGTGAGTCCGTTGGCAGCTAAACTGACGACGCAAGGTGAGGTGAACGCACACAAGGAAGTGACCCAAGCAGTGCACCACAACGACGGCAAGATCGCCATGCAAATCCTGCATAGTGGACGCTACGGGTACCATCCATTCAATGTAGCACCGTCTCCTATTAAAGCTCCGATCGGCTGGTTCACACCCCGAGAATTGTCCAGCTCTGCAGTGGAGAGCACAATTCGGGACTATGCGAGTTGTGCAGCTCGTGCACGTGAAGCTGGCTACGACGGCGTGGAGATCATGGGCTCAGAAGGATATCTGATCAACCAGTTCATCGTAGAGCACACGAACAAGCGCAAAGATCAATGGGGTGGCTCGTACGAGAACCGTATCCTCTTCCCTATAGAGATCGTCAAAGCTGTACGTGCTGCAGTCGGCAAGGATTTCATCATCATCTTCCGGTTGTCCATGCTGGATCTCGTTGAGAAAGGCAGCACGTGGGACGAGATCGTGATGCTTGCCAAGCAGATTGAGGCTGCAGGAGCCACGATCATCAACACGGGCATCGGCTGGCACGAAGCTCGCATCCCGACGATTGCTACAAGTGTTCCGCGCGGAGGGTTCTCTTGGGTTACCCAGAAAATGAAGGGCGAAGTGTCCATCCCTCTCATCACAACCAACCGCATCAATATGCCTGATGTAGCGGAGCAGATCATCGCTGAAGGACGTGCAGGTTCGAGAGACTTTTATCACCATATTCGAGTGATTATTGGACTGCTGACGTAATTGTTGCTGCGTAGATATGGTGTCGATGGCGCGACCATTCCTGGCAGACCCGGAGTTTGTGCGGAAGACGGAAGAAGGTCGAGTGGACGAGATCAACACGTGCATTGGCTGCAACCAGGCGTGCTTGGACCACACGTTCAAGGCTATTATTGCGAGCTGCTTGGTTAACCCACGTTCAGGCTACGAGACGCTACTGAACTACACTCCGACGAACGGTGAGTTGTTGACGTTGTATAGGTCTTGTGTTTCTAGTATACTGAAAACTTTTTATATTGTTGACGCAGATGCCCAACGTGTGGCAGTTGTGGGCGCTGGGCCTGCTGGCTTATCGTTCTCGACGGCAGCGGCGATTCGTGGCTATGAAGTGACGTTGTTCGACCAAGCTGAAGCCATTGGAGGGCAGTTCAACATGGCCAAGACGATTCCAGGCAAAGAAGAGTTCTACGAGACACTCCGCTACTTTGAAAAGCAGCTGAAGCTCAAAGGCGTCAAAGTGAAGCTTGGACAACACGTTGAGGCTGCAGATCTGACCACTGGAGCTTTTGATAAGGTGGTTATCGCGACGGGTGTGTTGCCTCGTGCCCTCAAGATCCCAGGGGCAGACCACCCCAAGGTTTTGAGCTACCTTGACGTCCTGAAGAACAAAGCTCCAGTGGGTAACAAGGTGGCTATCATCGGCGCAGGAGGCATTGGATTCGATGTGGCAGAGTTCCTCGCTCACGTTGGCGAATCCACAAGCTCAAGTGTCGACGTGTTCGCTCGTGAGTGGGGCATCGACACGACTAATTCAGTACGTGGCGGAGTGGCTGGTGTCAAGCCCAGTATCCCTCCTCCAGCACGTGACATCTATCTGATGCAACGTAAGAGCACGAAACACGGCAAAGATCTTGGCAAAACGACCGGGTGGATTCACCGACTGTCACTCAAGCATCGTGATGTCAAGATGATCGGTGGCGTGTCGTACGATAAAGTGGACGATGAAGGACTGCATTATACGGACAAGAAAGGGGAGAAACATGTTCTACAAGTTGACAATGTGATCGTTTGTGCGGGTCAAGTGCCGCTTCGAGAGCTCGAGAAGCCACTGCAAGAGAAAGGAGTCACCGTGTTCCGTATTGGCGGTGCTGACGAGGCTGGCGAGCTGGATGCTAAGCGCGCGATTGATCAAGGAGCTCGCTTGGCTGCTAACATCGAGACAGCTAAGCCTGGCGACCCACTCGAGGCCGATGCTACGCTGTCAGCGAAGGTCTTTGAGTTCTTGGGCAAATTTCAGCAGTAAACAAGACTACTAGCAATTAATTCATGAAAAAATAAACCCCAGCTCGCTGTGCTTGATGCCGCTCTACTCCGTCTTCTGCCGTTTGGCCTGACTCAAAGTCTCGAAGAAGTTCTGGATGTCTTCTTTCCGCACAGTCTTGCCTGCAGCTGCAAAGCCTGCCAGGTATTGCTGGAGGTTGTTCTTCATGAGACTGTAGCCCATAGCAACCTCGACTTGTTGCTCGTGCGTCAACGTGTTGGCAAAGGCACGTTGAGCCATTTCCTCGTCAGAAGCAGTTTTCTTCTCCCTCGCACTGGCTTCGTACACGTGCAACGAGTCTTCGGGGTCCAGGAGGAACGCGATGTCGTGCTTGTCAAATAGAGACAGACAGGAGGAGCATTGACACAAGTCACTGCGCCAATCGCTCGACCAGAATGTTGGCCGTAGCGTTGTTCCTTGCGCTTCCAGCTGTTGCTGCTTGACTTTAAGCACACATTCAATCGCTTCAGTCTGCTTGGGGTTGGAAGCATCGTCGCCGTTTCCAACGGGTGTTTCTTCATCATTATCCGGACTGTCCACAGTGTAGGCCATGAGGAACGGGTGTTTATGCATACACTCGAGACAGATGAGCTCATCAAAGCTTTCCGGAGACACTGTGTGTCCAGTATCGGTAGAAGCAACAGCGTCGTCAGGTGATTTCTTGTCCGTCTCAGCGGAGGAAGGAGTCTCCTTCTCAGCATGAGTTGTAGTGTCTTCAGCGGTTGTTCCCTCCTCAACTACATCCTTGGAAATGTGCTCCTCGTGCAGCCAGTCTTCACAAATGACACACTGTACCATAACCTCAGGTGTCGTTCGTTCGGGGTCTGGATATGGACGGTGGCAGTTGCAGTACAACCCTCCATAGTTCTGTGAGTACGTGTTGCGAGGGTTCGTCGCCGCCTTGTCTGCTTCCAGCTTGCATGGATTACCTGCAGCAATAACGACACATTAGCCACAATGGAGCCTAATAAACGATGTTTGCGGTAGCTTTAAACTCACTTTTATGGAACTTTTTGTTGCCACAGTCGCAGCGGAACGAGCGCTTGGTGTAGAGCTCCACGAGTTCGTGATCCTGGTGGCAATTGTATGTGCAAGCCAGACACACACCGGCGCGCGTTTCGGGCTTCTCTAGTGCATCCGGTGTGCAGGTCATGCAGGCGTATACTGCCTGACGCATGTAGCCCATGGGATAGCTACAGTGTGTGTCACTGGCGTCTCCTAGCACCGCGTCCGCCGTCTCCGTCATCTGCTCGTTGTGCTTCAGCACGTCCGAAAGTGTCACCATCTCCTCCTCATCTTCGTTCACCGTCTGCTGCTCTTCCTCTTCGCGGCCGCGTTTGTTGCCAGTCGCTTGGGCTGCAGTAGTTGCCGTTGTCTCCATGATGCAAAACTGGCAATCGAAAAAAAGTGATCAAAAGTAGATCAGAAAGTGAAGGTGTTGGCGCCAAAAAAATGGCGATCGGTGATTGGCTCATACTCCCGTCGTATACAAGGTATACACTCACTCAAGTAGCGCACTTGATTGGCGAGGCTTGATAGCTCATTGAGGCAAATACAGTCTGAGCATCATGGTGTTCTTTGTTTGCGAGGGTTGCAATGAGACACTGAAAAAGAACAAGGTGGACGCACACGCAGGCCGCTGCCGCAACTGCTGGGCCGTGAGCTGCGTGGACTGTAGTGTCGTATTCGAGGGCAACGACTACGCCGCGCACACGAGCTGCATTTCAGAGGCCGAGAAGTACGAGAAGAGTTTGTTCCAAGGCGACAAGAACAAGAGCAAGAACGGCAAGAAACAGACGCCACAGGAGCGATGGGTGGACGTGGTGCAAACCGCGACTTGCCCTGAGGACTGCAAGGTGCAGGACGTACTCACGCGAATCGCTGGATATGACAACGTACCCCGCAAGAAGAACAAATTCGTCAATTTTGTCACCAATAGTTTGGCGCTGCGTGATACGACACTTGTGGAAAAGGCCTGGACCATTTACGAGACGGCCTTCAAAGCGTCGGCTCCGGAGGCGAACGCAGCGGCACCTGAAGAGGAAACAGCGAGTAAGAAGCGGCCAGCTGAGACCGAGGCGGAGGAGACTTCATCTAAGAAGAGCAGAACGGAGGACAAGCCTGTTAAGTGGAGCAAGTTGATCAAGTCAGCACTCAAATGCTCTGGCAAGGAGCTGGATGTGGATATACTGCGTGACCAAGTGCTCAAGCAAATTCAGGAGAAGCAACTGTCCTCAAAGAGTGAGAAAGAACTTAAGAAAGAGTTCAAAGCTGCCATCAAGGAGAGCGATAAGTTTGTAGTGGCTGAGGTCGTCCGTCTGAAGTGAGGGAATCTGAACATGTAGACATGCGATAGAAATAACACTGTTTTTCACATCTCGAAACATGACAGTCTTATCGAAAATTTCATTTAAATAGCAAAGTTCGAGAGGTCTAACTCCCATTTCACGAGCTCAGGGCCGCTTTGAACTTGGTCTGTAGGCACATGCGGAAAACCCTTATCGGCTTGATCCTTCTGGGCTGGTGTAGTTTGCGCGTCAGACGGCTCTCTTATCTCGATGGATGGCTCTCGTTTCGCAAGATACTGACTTTTGCAACTGCTATGTTTACTGCTCGCTCTACTTGTGCTTGGCGGGGCAGTTCGACTTCTTCTTCTGCTATGGGTTTGCTGACTAGTGACACTTTTTGTGGCACTGTACCTGTTGCTGTTGGCACTGCCACTGCTGTTTCCACTGACTAACGAAGATTGAGAGCCTGGACCTGTTGCCGATGAAGACGAAGACGAGCTCCAGGAAGATTCAGAAGAAAGTTGCAGTTGAGAAGAGAGACGACGCCGCTGAGCAAGATCTGCAAGTGTCGGACCAACTTCGATTGGTCGCACTAGATTGCTTGCAGTCGCATCATATTCAGCATGTACACCCAATGATGGTGATAGTGGTGGGATATCAAGCTCAGCAACTCGAAATGCTGCGTCGAGAGGTCGTCGATGAGAGTATCTGTCAGTTTCTGTGGCTTGATCCCTCACATACGTCGTAGTCTGTTGCTGCTGATCAACCTTGGCAGTGCGATTGGTAATGTCTTCTTTGCTTTGGTTGTCTCTGGTTTTTAAAGCGTAAAAGTGTTTCTCTTTCATCTCCAACATATCTTGGAACATTTTTAAAACTGAATCTTCTCCTGAAGACGACACAGAGGATACACCCTTTTGTTGGTGACGACAGTGGGAGGGAGGACAGCGTTCCGCCGAGTACCTAGATGACTTGTCGTCTTCTTTACCTTTCGGTGCTATTGCCGGTTGAGCAACAGCAGTGCTCGTCGGGCGATGGTACTCGATGGCCGCGTTTACTGCCACCGTGAGCTCTTCAAGAGTCATTGCTCCTGCATGCCGTTTACCACGTGAGCTGCATGGCGATGTCCCGGACCCCCACTCTGAGTTCACTTCATGCTCGTCTTCATCTAAACTTTCTTCATCGCTGTCTTCATCGAAGTAAAGCTCCTCTAAATCTGCAAGAGCTCGTCGCGCCACTTCTCGATCGTCGTCAGCGGAAACCGGCTCAGTATCTTTGTGACCATCTGCCGGTGCAACCTTGCAGACCTGTTGATACTCGCATGAGATACCGTAGCTTGAGAGCGACGATGTCGGAGAAGCTGCTCTTCTAGAGAAGACCATGGTTGATCAATGCACACGCGACTCTTTGTTGACGTACTTGAAGTTGCCTCGTAACGGACAAGTAACCTGATTGGACTATTTAAACCTCGTTCGGCTCTTTAATTGGTGCAAAATAAATACAATTCAAAGCATTCCATCATATCATATTAGTCCCCGTCATGAGCACCTCCGACGCCAGCAACGCTGCTGTTACGCGGCCAGCACGACGACCGGTTATCTACCTCACGGGTGACTCGCTGACGGAGCGGGGAACTGACCCCAACAATGCCGGTTGGATTGCGCTGATGCAGGATCGCTACAACCGATCGGCCGATATCGTTCCACGCGGACTGTCAGGTTACAACACCAAGTGCGTCTTGCTGCTGATTGGAAAGCTTCACTGCATTAGTACAGGGCCTTACTGATGCATTGATCGTTTTGTATGAGTAGGTGGTTCATTGAGTCGGCCTTACCTGCGCTTGAGCGTGAGCTATCCGGTGAGGTGCGGTCGCCGTGTCTGATCACGTTGTGGCTGGGTGCCAACGACGCTGCACTTCCGGACGGTACCGCAGCTCGCCAGCACGTCCCGCTTGCAACATACAAGGAGAACTTGACTACAATCGTTCGCAGCTTCCAGGCTAAAGCTCCTCGGGCTCACATTCTACTGATCACCCCGCCGCACGTGGACGACGCCGTCCGCAAATCGCGCTCGCCAATCGGCTGCGCTGAACGCACGAACGCCGCAGCAGGTGAATACGCGCAAGCGTGTGTAGAGACTGCTGGAGAGATTGGCGTAAGTGCGTTGGATTTACACTCGTTCTTCAACTCAATGTCGGAGAGTGAACGCGCGGCGTGCTTGGACGACGGACTGCATTTCACCGCTAAAGGCAACCGGTTGGTGGACGAACAACTGCAAAAGAAGATCAATAAGGCATTCCCCAGCTTGGCGAAGCAGCTTAAAGTCTGGCAGCTTCCCAACTTCCGCATCTGGTTGGATGTGTAGGCTCCTTTATCCACTCGTCGAACACAGCGAAGCTCCAACATGTAGATAGCGATGCTTAAACATGTAGATAGTGATGTAAATAGTAATGATACGTCATTCACTGCCCGCTTCTTCCACAGTTTCACTACCGGTTTCTCATTTTTAGTGTCCTGCGCAGCCTCGTACCAGTTGTGGGAAGGTATTCCAGCCGTCGCAAAGCAAATTTCGAGACCAATCAACTACTTGTTGGAAATAATTACAAGAGTTTTTTTAGTACTTCGAAGTAGTTGGTAAATGGAGAGTGAGTATAAATACTAGTATTGGAGACTCTACCAGCTACATGTACATGTTGTCCTCGTACCGGTCGGTACAAAACACCCCTCCAAATTGATCCTCTCGTCCTTACAGCAGGATAGCGTTTTGGGCTTTGCTCTCAATTACTTGAAGTAATCAATTTTAATTCTTGCCGTAAAGATTCAGTCTGTAAACTGCTCGCCTGCACTAGCCAGATTTGACCGCCTTTCAAGACCCCGACAATGCGTGTGAGCTACGTCCTCTTGGTGGCAGTAGCCACCCTCCTCATCACCTGCGACGTTGTGTCAGCGCAGCCGAGCACATTGTCCCTACCAGCTTCCGACGGCGCGATGATCGAAGACACCAACAACCAGCCGCTGCGATTGCTAGAGATAACGACAGCCGACGACGGTGAAGAGAGGATGGCCGAAGCGAGGCTGATGGACTCGGAGATCCTCGAAAAAATTGTCAACGATCACGCGTACGCCAAGCAGGTCTTCCGCAGCTGGCTACAGAACGGCCAAACCAAGGAAGACATCGAGAACCGACTGAAGACGCTGGGTCTGCTGACCAAGTATGGCAATGTCGTCAAACAGTACGCTCAGTACTTGACGGTTCTCGAAGAGAGATCTGCATAGCCAGCTCTTCCCTTAGTAAAAAAGTACAGTTATACTTTAACTACTTCGTAGTAGAATATAACTGGAACATAAACAACCGACATATGATCTACACTGTAAACAGCATTCCACATTGTTCTGACAAGAAGGCAGAGCACATGTACATGTATTCAGAACATGTCGAGGATATCGGGCACAAACAAAAGAATCGCCATAAAATACTTCTTTTTTTATTGTTTCATCTTGATTTCAGCTGGATCAATCAGCCCCCAGCTAGCCCACAGAAGATGTCCGTCGATTTAGACATCATGCAAAGCAGAGCAGTGTCGTTTAAGCAGCAGCAGCATCGACTGGAGCAGTGTCTTTCCCGGCCGTTTCAGACTTCTCAACGGGAGCAGCTTCGATCTTCTCTTCTGATGAATCCTTTTCAGCCGTCTCGGTCTCCTCCGTTGCCGCTTCCTCAACCTTCTCAGCTGGCTCCGTAGTTGCAGCCTTCTCAGCCTCCGTCGACGCCTCCTCCTCCGTCTTGGCCTTCTTAGCCACCTGCTCGTCATTCGTCTCCTCCTCTTCACGCTCCTGGCGCTTCTTTGAGCCTTCCGTCGCAGCCTCAGCTGACACTTCCTCCTCTTTCGCAGCATCCTTCTCCGCCGTTTCCTCCGTAACCTCGCCTTCAGGTGTTTCCTCGGTCTCCTGCACAGTATTAGGAGCCACATGGCCGCGGATAAAGGACTCCACCTTGTCGAACTTGGAGCTCGTGTAGTCACCCACAATCTTGCCGTCCCTGTACACGCGGAAGTGCGGGAAGCTGTCCACTTCCACTTCTTCGCATAACGTCTCGTGCTCCTCAGCACTCACCCTGGCAAACGAGACGGTCTCGGCAAGCTCCTCGGCTAGCTTGTCCACCTTGGGCGCCACCAACTTGCAACCGCCGCACCACGGCGCGGAGAAACAGGCAACCAACGGCTTCTGAGTCGCAGCGGCCACGGCAGAGTGGAAATCCTCAGCTGTCGAAATTGCGATCATCACTCTTGTTTCGGTTTGGAGCTTGGACTGTTGACTTGGAAGCTGCAAATTGCGGAATGATCGATGGAAGGTCGGCGCGGACATGCTAGCCACAAACAAATGGGTTCAAGCTGTGGCTTGCCCTCACGCATACAAACTCCAAGTCCATCAACGTGGTTGCTTTCCTTTCCGCATTCCGGATCTCTCCATCTGACGTCATTGTCGCATTCGAAATTATTCTACAGTAACGGCTTTTGGCGCGAAAAGATCGTGCCACACCAGTTTTCACACAGCTTACAAATTTACTTCTGTAGCTTCTTTTCTAAATCTAAACTACAGAACTTAAACCTACAAAAAAGCACAGACAGTTGCATCACTTGTTGCGTGCGTGTCGACAAGCCAGACGGCGTAGAGGAAGCTCACCGCAGGCAAAGCCCGCGTGATGGATATCAACGCTGATCCCAGTCCGCTCAAATCCAGCTCTCTCCAGTCCGTTCCGCCAACGGATCCCTCCGCTATGACTGCCGACGTGGAGGAGAAATCGCCACCCAAAGGCGGTATGAAGCAGCTTGTGGCCTGTCGCATCGAAGGTCACAAGATCCAGAAGAGGTTGTCGCCCAAGAAGAAAGCTTTGGACCCGCTGCGCTATCTGCCGGACGGCGGCGGCTACTACGCGCTGTTTACTATCGCCGCGTACTTTGAGACTGAAGGGGATGAAACTACAGAGCGGAGGCATGTGGTGCAGCGAAGCTACAAACAGATTTGCACGCTGCACTCTAGGGTAAGTTTCCATTTCGTTCTGTTATAAAAGGAGTGGCTAAAGTGATAATCTGTGATGTGTTTCTATACATTTCTAAAGCTGCTGAAGACATATCCCAAGTCAAATCTGCCGAAGGATTTACCATCAATGCGCAACAAGAGATACGACAACGAGTACATTGAAGAGAAGCGCAATGAGCTGACAAAGTATTTGGCACAACTAATGCAAATTCCGGAAGTAAAGGCGTCGAACGTGCTGCGCGACTTTCTAGAGGCTTCGACGGCTGCGGAAGACAGCAGCGACGATGAAGATGGGCCTGTGGCTCCGTTGAGAATGCTGGAAGGGCTTCCGGGCACGATTATTACGGTGAGAGCTGGCCAATCATTCTCAGTTACATTGCCACTGAGTGCCGCGGGGGATATTGCATCGTGGCAATTTACGACAAAAAAGCACAATATTGGCTTCAGTGCTACGTTTGGCGGAGAGATGATTCGTGCGTACTCACGTGAAGGAGCAGATGTGAAGCCAATAACGGGGTTTTACCGGTGCACCACTCCTGGAACGTGCACACTTACGTGGGATAATACGTATACTTGGAGTAAAGGCAAGGTTTTGATCTACTGGGCGGAGGTGGAATCGCACAATGAGCAAAACACACAAAGTCACGCTTCTGCTACCTCTCAAGAAGGAGCTGTGTCGACTGAAAAGACAGAAGCGGCGCCGACAGGGAGTGGATCTGATGCTGTGGATGTGGACAATCGTCGGCTCGGCTTTATTGAGCATACACGAAGCAATTCCATGCATCCGCGGCATCTAGTGAACTCGTCCATTTCTCTCCTCTCAAAGCCATTCGTGCATGGCCATGGCCATGACGATGGCTCTGCACATGGAAAATCTCGACGGTTGATCCCTGGGAGGACGACTTCAGCACCAGCACTTTCGATTCCGAGCTACTTACAAGCCTCGGAACGCGGTCCTCAAATGAAATCTGGATCGCTTATTATTCAGCGCAGTGTCAAGTTTCGAGGACGACATTGGTACCGAAAGTGGTTCGTTCTAGACCCACGGAAATGTGTTCTACGGTACTACGATTCGGAGGCTGCTGCTCGTCGAGGGTTGTCGTTGGCCAAGCTCAACCTGACAAACAAACATGCATCTCTGGCTATCACTAGTAGGTTAAGTTTGGACGCTGCTCCTACGCCCTACATGTTTCTAATCCGTACCAAGAAGCATTGCTGGAAGATCTGTGCGCCTTCGCAAAGCGAGTACAACGCGTGGGAGAACGCCATCTCGACGGCAATCTTGACTGCGCAACTCTCACGTCGAGGTAGGAAGAGTAAGAAGGCGATGGTCAAAGCTGCAAAGAAGTCGCCACTGGTGCGAAAAGATTCACATGCAAGTGAATCTGATGACGAGACGCCCAAATCTGATATGGCCACAGACACGAATGGCAATAATGAGGTGGCAACAATGGGTTCCTCTCGGGACCCAGACCGACCACTGAGTCCAATTGAAGAATCAGACGACGACGATGATGACTCGGACAATAAAGACGATGGCGATTCTGATGATGACGATGAGTCTGAGTCCGATTCTGACGACGAGTTGCATGAGGGCGACGATATCGAAGTTGTCCCACCAATGACGGACATCGATTCACCGATAAATAGCCAAGACGAGGCCGTTGGAAGCCTGCCAGACTTGCAAAACCTCCCATTGGAATGGAAGCTTGGTCTTGTAGCCGTGTTTAACGTGGCGCTCTTATCAGTGCGCTCTGCCCCCGTTGTTGTCATTGTGCTGGTGCTGTTTATCATAAACTGGTACTTGCTGCTTAAGTACATGAAGGCCACAAAAGACAATGAAATGGACTCGTCAACGGCGAAACCTAAGGCGGAGTAATTTGAAAAGTGGCAAAAGCGTTTTTTGTGTGGATTTAGCCCAGTTTTTAGTTGCCTTCATTGCTGCCTAGCAATTCGAGGTAGTCGGGGTGTTCCCACGCGTCCAAGCGTTTTGCCAGTGATGGAAATTCACGCTCGATTGCAGTGAGGATGTGGTCAATGACGAGCTCGTTGCCCTTCTGGTTGAAGTGCAGTCCGTCGTATTGGCAGCCACAGCGCTCCTGCTCGTGCATTTCATTCATAATTGTGTGGAAATCCAGCACTGGGACGTTCAAGCTTCCCGCTTCTTCGATGCATGCACGGGCGTATTCACCAATGCCTTCGTTGGAAAAGTCGAGCTCTCCATCAGGATCCGACCACACATTCCGTCGCGCCCGATCGTTCACTGCAGGTGGAGTGATCATTAAAATGGCTGCATCGGGTGCCTTATCTTGAACTGTATGCACAATTTCGCAAAGATTGGCTCGGTACTTGGGAATCGGCACGTGGAGCGCCGCTTCGTATCCCGATAACAGTGCGGAATCATTGCCACCGAGCCAAACGGCCACAAAAGCTGGAGATTCTGGCCACAAGCTTAACTCCTCCTTAACACTTGGAAGGGCATGTTTGACGAAAATCTCCGTACTGTAGCCGTATAGCCCACGGACTACGATATCGGCGGAGCGAGTGTAGCGGTGCTGTAATTGAGCCACCCAGCCCCCGAGATCTGGATCCGTTCCCTCTTGTGTCAGCGAGTCTCCAAGTAGCAACAGCTTCGGACGTAGAGACGTCGTCGTCGATGCCGTTCTTGAACCGGTAGACGTGATGAAGGAGACACCCCGCATCGGGAGGAGACGACGGAGGCTCCCCCTTAGCGTGAGCATAGCGAGGGACAGGTATTTTTCACTTTTGATCAGAAATGAGTTGGTGATAAGACAAGGCGGAGACTACAACGGCAAATGGAGAGTGCTAATTTAAATTAATTGCGTACATGTACTGGGACGTCCAAAGTCTTCGTAGTGCGGGAACTTCTCGACCTAAATGAGCGCACCATGGGGGCACGAGTGCAGAAGACTACCACACCGAGTGCCTTGTCCCACAGGAGTAATTTAACCCACATTCTTAAAGGGTGCCAAGGAATACGCGTATGTGCACATGCATTTACAGACTTGTTATCGGCATTCTATGATCTTATGACGTCTCCAATATGGTACTGTTGTTATCGTCCGGAAGCCACGGATCTGCCTCAATCCACGTTTCATAAGTCGGAATTTGCCAGCGATCGAGTTTGTGCGAAATGTTGGGAAAGTCGACATCGATCTTTTGGCGGAGTTGCTGGTACATGAAGTTGTTGCCTCTTTTGTTGAGATGCAGTCCATCTTCGAGAACGTTTTTGCGGTCCCACTGGGTCATGTTGTTGAAATAAGTGTGAAGGTCCAGCACGGACAACCCCAACTTGCTCGCCGTCTCCACACAAGCATGGGCGTAGATCCCAGCCATTGTGTTGGAGTGGACGACCATGTTTTTCATATCGCCCTCGTATTTCCGAGCATTCTTCTCCTGGACCTCGTCGTCGACGCACGGCGGTGTGATGAACAGAATTCCAGCATCTGGAGCCATTTGTTGGAAATGAAGCACAAGTAAGACAAGGTTTTCTTTGTAAGACTCGACGGGAACGTGCTGTGCCACTGCAGATCCGTTGGGCAATGCGGCATCGTTGGCTCCCAACCATATTGCGATCAAGGAAGGCACGTAGGCTCCGCTGGAGATTTCGCTCTGAATGCTCGGGATTCCATACTTCAGGTACCATCTATGGAGACACCACGTCAGATACATGAGTCAACAAGAGATTCGTTCGCTGCAAAGTATCTCGTCCAACCGTACTTTGTATTGTAACCGGAGAGTCCGCGGGGTACCACATGAACCGAGCGTCGATAATCGTACTGCAGCAATGTAACCCATCCATTGGTCTTGGGTATCGCCCCCTTCTCGGTCAGAGAGTCGCCGACGAGCAATATAACCGGTCGAAGTTGAGGGCGCATGCTGATCCTTTCAAGAACGGTCTCCCAAGCGCCAAATGACCACGCGATGTACGCAGCCACAACAAAGAACGCCAACACAAACCGCTTGGAATTGTGCGTAGCTGCTGCAGGTGCTGATGGCAGCGAAGGAGGTGGCAGCTTCGGCTTCTCGGGGGCCGAAGCCATAGCGGAATTGCAGGACGAGGAGCTTACCGGTACTCCGAGGAAACAGTGAGGCCAATTTCGGCAGTAAACATCGATCGCCACTGATTCACCATCGTGTGACACAATCTCAGAGGGTGTTCCGGATCTGAGTGACTAAAAGCTAGTCAACACGTCAGTACAGTACTTGGATACCGGTAGTCGCAATGGTCTAAGCTTAGCAAGAAAAAACAAGACACTTGGAATGATAATGCTACGAGTTCTATGAAATAACATTAAGGTAGCTGGTGCTTCGAAGCGTACGAGTACTGTTAATACCATCGTCTGTATTATCTGGAATCCACGGGTCGCTCTTGACCAGTCTGTTAAAGTTGGGAGCCTGCCAGCGCTCGAGTTTGTGCACTACGTCCGGGAACTCGGACTTGATTTTGTCCATTAGCTGGTCGTACATCAACCTATTGCCTCTCGTGCTGAGATGCAGTCCGTCCCCCAGCATATTATTACGTCTCCATTTGGGCATGTCGTTGAAGTACGAGTACAAGTTCACTACTGGAAGTCCCAATTTGTGCGCGGTTTCGACACAGACTTGTGCATACTTGCCTGCCATTTCGTTCGTGCGGTCGATAACCCCTTTCTTGTCTCCTTCATTATTCCTAGCACGGCGGTGGCGCGCCATGTCGTCCACATGAGGCGGAGTGATCAATATGAATTTTGAATCGGGTGCCAGTGTCTGGAATTCCCGGACAATCGTGATCAAGTTCTGCCGATATGTCTCAATCGGAACATGCTGTTCCGAGTTACTTCCATTCGGTAGTGCGGCGTCGTTCGCTCCGAGCCACAACGTGATGAGGACTGGAGTGTAGGAGCCGCTGACAATCTCTCCTCGGATCACAGGCATGGCGTATTTGAGGTACCATCGGGTATTGTATCCCGATAGCCCGCGTGGCACAACGTTGGCAGACCGAGTGTAGTCATTTTGTAGCAGGGTGACCCATCCGTTGGACTTTGGGTTGGTGCCTTTCTCAGTGAGTGAGTCGCCAGCAAGCAGCACCGTCGGACGAAGCTTGGGACGCAGACCTGTCCCGATGAGGAAAGCTTCCCAGGCGCCCAGCGACCACGCGATGTATGCGGCCAGCGCGAAACAGGCCAACAGCGTGCGCTTGACATTAATAATGGAAGGATGTCGGAAAGATTCCGGGAGAGTGAAGAGAGGCGAGGGCTTCGTCGCCTTAATGGGCGTGGGGATCATGTTGGGAGGTGGTGGCGACGCCTCGGCTCGGGCTGTGCCCCGATGGAAGGCAATTCCGGTAGTGAGTGATGCAGGTGTGCCACATTGGAGCTGTACAGAGACTCTAGTATTTTTTTGTAGAGTCTTGATTGTGTTATCATTCTGTGTGACAATTCCTTTTGGTATGGCGAGCAGATTGGCGGTTAGAGCCTGTATGCGGCTCCGGGTGATTATTTTTGAGCTGATATGCTGTTAAACTGAAAAACTACCAGTGATACCAGCTCTTGTACCGGTACTTTCAAACTGATGGGTGATCACGCAGTGCTCCAATATTAACACTTAATGCCGTGCTAAGCCCGGTGAAGCTCTGGATATTACGGTATGTTCAAAAAGCAATAACTAGTGCGGAATGAAGGACTTTTTAAAAAATAGAGAAGAATTGCGATTTCACTAAGACTTCCAGTCTAGAAGAAACCGAGCGAGAATGATAGTCATTCATTTGAGTGGCTATCCCCTAACTTCGAAAACTTGAAAACAAGTTGGTACCCTAGCTTAAGAAAGTACTGTATTTTAAAGAAGACCTGTAACAATTTTTCCACAGCATTATGGTTTCTTGATCTATTCGATCCTCGATTGCATGAAGTCTTTGGGTTTCTGCCAGCGCATCACGACTTGGAGTAAAATACTCCAAAAACTCTTTCGTAAGGGGGCCATGAGATACAACTGCGATAACGTTTTCACTCGTGTGACGGCGACATAGAAATATGAACGCTGAGGAATACTGCGAGTCGGATGACGAAGCGGAGCAAGAATCATTTTCTCTACTGTCAGTCCTTGGCACTTCTCAGTGGTCAATGAGTACGCCAACACAAGAGAGACTTGGCAAATTGAGATAGAAAATGAGCGATCTGGCAGCCGAATTCGGACACCACATTCTGTCCTTTTGCATACAGGAACGACACCAAGTGGTAACGTTTTCTTCCTCTGATGTGTGTGATGTGTGTGTGTGAGTGTGTGTGTGAGAGGGAGGGGGGGGGCTTACTTACGCGTTACGTCGTAAGGTTGATGTGTATGAGGATACAGTTTAGCCAAAATGAAGAAGCCGCGGTCGAACGTGCGTTGTCGTCCGACCTTGCTGTCTTGACGCGAGACGGCCTCGATATGAATCCTATTAGTATTCACTTATTCCCTTCTTTAAATCATGTAGCCTTCATGTACTGTACAGTACCACCCACCATCGGTGGTATCGTATATTGGAGCAACATCCACCTAAATCCAGATAGCGTGAATGTTGACCCAGGCGGCTTGGAACGACATTCACCAGTGCTTTTTATGCTTTACCGTAGTTTATTAGAAACTCCGTCCTTTTAGCCTATCACTTGCAAGCCACTATACTTTTAATAATTACAAATGTAGCACCCTAATATTTTATAGAGGATCGTCGACGGTTTTCGATCGCCCCTAAAACTCTGGATATGAATATCCAGAGAATTGCAAAAATATAATCACATCCCTTAGAAATATTATAATTTTCGATTTTGTTCTTCTAAAAACAAGCAGCCAAAAAAAATCCTTTTTATGCTCCATAAAAAAATTCGAGTTAAAAAATGGCACTCGTTATTTCGCCCGACTGAGGTAACATAGCATTGACTTTTATACGTGTACAGCTATTATAGTACGGTTAAATTGGAGTAAAGGTAGGACACTAGCGCGTTTGCACTCGTCTGCGGACTTATAGCCGTGGGCCCGCCCCTCTCTTCGCTTGCTGCGCTGCACTCGAGGGGGCGCCGCTGAGGCCTGCCCAACCCCGGCCTCGACTCGGCAAGGCGCTGTGTCTGGGATTAGAAATTAATTCCGAGCGAGTGTTGCCAATACGGTCAGCTAAGTCCATTTCATGCATGTTGGGGAGTATAATTGTATAGTCGCTTATCCAGTCGGGTGAAATACTCACTGTCAATAAATATAAAAAAATGTCGGAAAGTACATGTGTAAATAATATTTTAAAAGTGATATCTGGCATCCAACAAAATAAACTATTTATTGTAAGATATTGAATTGAAATTACAGTACAATGTTCGTTTCGGAACGCGTGTATTATACGAAGTACCTAGCTACCAACTTGACGCGCACGCGAAATGGCGTACTGTACCTGTATGCTAATATTGAAGCCTCCCTTGTTCGCTTTACATGGCAGTGCCATGATGGCACATGCCGGCACATGCCGGCCCGGGTGATAGTTGCACCGGTGTACAAGATCAGTGATGCTTTGTCACTTTTAAAAATGGCGTAAGAGATGATAAAAAATCGCGCTTTCTCGAAATCCCGTTTATTCAGTATGGCCCCACGACCGACTCGGTCAGTAATTGCCATTCCAGCGAGTTACCTTTTCCGAAGATTGAGATGAAGTAGACGGCCGCAAGGACGGCCACTACAGGTACGAGGCTGCGCATCACTCTCGTGAAGGTAGTGAAGCCGATGGAATAAGCAGCATAGCGATAAGTGGTCTACGTATTAATGCTACCACCACTTTAAACATGTTGGAGCTTCGCTGTGTGCGACGATTGGATAGCAAACTACACATCCATCTAAATGCGGAAGTTGGGAAGCTGCCAGACTTTAAGCTGCTTCGTCAAGCTGGGGAATGCCTTATTGATCTTATTTTGCAGCTGCTCGTCCACCAACCGGTTGCCTTTAGCGGTGAAATGCAGTCCGTCGTCTAAGCACGCCGCGCGTTCACTCTCCGACATTGAGTTGAAGAACGAATGTAAATCCAACGCACTTACGCCAATCTCCCCAGCAGTCTCTACACACACTTGCGCGTATTCACCTGCTGCGGCGTTCGTGCGTTCAGCGCAAGAGACTGGTGAGCACGATTTGCGGACGGCGTCGTCCACGTGCGGCGGGGTGATCAGTAGAATGTGAGCCCGAGGAGCTTTAGCCTGGAAGCTGCGAGCGATTGTAGCCAAGTTCTCCTTGTATGTTGCAAGCGGGACGTGCTGGCGAGCTGCGGTACCGTCCGGAAGCGCAGCGTCGTTGGCACCCAGCCACAACGTGATCAGCGACGGCGATCGCACCTCACCGGATAGCTCACGCTCAAACGCATGTAAAGCCGCCTCAATGAGCCACCTACTCATACACAACGACCAATGCATCAGTAAGTCTTTGTATTAATGTAGTGAAGCTTTTCAGCCAACAGCACACACTCGAAGTTGTAACCTGACAGTCCGCATGGAGCGGTTAAGGCCGATCGATTGTGGCGATCCTGAATTAGCGCGAGCTGGAGCGAGATTCGCTGAAGGGTCGGGCGTGTCGTGTGTCGAGCAGCTACGCTGGACCCGCGTTTCCCGACATGGCTACATCAACACGTGTGGATCAGAGAAGCGCATGGCTGGGAGAGGAAGACACAAGGACTAAAAAAGATCAATATCGTTCTCGCTTTTGCATTTCTTATCCTTAACGCGAATCTACAAGAACCTAACGCGGTATGCAGACCGGTAGTTCAATCTTAAACATCTATTGCAGCAACCTGTCTGTCCGTCACACTAAATTGTCGTGCCTGTCACGCTTTTCCGGACAAATCATTGGATAAAATAATTTAAATATTTCTACTGGCTGCCGAGCGCAGCGAAGGTGGCTTCAATTGGTTAAAACTAGAATGTGTAGTTGACATCAATAAATGCATGTGTTCCCCAGTATACATATGGGGATTTGCACAAAGTCAGACGGCGGCATCGTTTAAATATTAAATACTTTTTCATAATGCATGTTGTTATTGATATTTGAATACTACAGTAAACGGAGGGTAGGGTGCTTAGCGTACACGTAAGCATGCGTGTTTCCGAGGACATGGTTTAAGTATACTAAATACTCTGTACTCAGTAGGATCTGTGTGTTACACTGACTAAAATGAAATTTCATTTTTCTTACTGCAAAAATATTAGCATTAATAAGTTATCTGAGTGGGTTTCTGGTATTGCTAAATCGTACACGTTACATGTACAGCAGTAGCCGGTCGTGTAGACTGGCCGTAAGAACAAAACTGTGCTTATAAACGTTGTCACTTGATCCACAAAGATATATAGTGTTAGATTGACGTGTGAACAAAAAGAAGTTATATGTGCTGATGACAATTACTACTGTAAGCGAATTGAACTTGACCATTGTTTCCTTAGCGTTTTTTTAGACAACAAAATTCTGATACTTCTTAATAGGTAGACGCGTTGCCGACAAGGGCGTAAAATAAGGTTTTATATGCAGTGGTAAGATAACAGCACAACATGAGAGGTGTCAATTTTGGTTATTATAAGAAGGCCCGTAAAGAAACGTTAATCAACTTAGAGCCTAATATTTTGGAATCATCAATTAAGTATCAAATAAAAATACCGCCGTCAACAACAACAACAGCAAGGCGTCTTGCGACGCATGGTTATATTCAAAGGCTATAAGCATAACAGGCACAGATTGAGTGTCTAATGACTAATTCTGAATCAGCACAAAATGAACACACTTCAAGGCATAAAAAAATGCTACAGCTTGAATATTTTTATTAAATATTCAAACTGTAACACTTTTAATTTTCTTTCAAAGTAGCGAGTTTGGTTTGCGAAGTGGTTAATAGGCAGTTTATTACAAGCTTAACCAGGCAGTACAAGCGGGTATTTGATGCAAGCTGGACAGATATTCTTTGCATTGATGCAATCTAGGTTTCAGAAACGGCCCGTGAAATCGAGCACGACGCTAAACTAAATATTTTATTTAGCGGTTTTAGACTGAAGTGCAGGTGCTTCTGGGTGGAAGATGAAGGTACAGTGATAGCCAACAACAATAAAGAGACTTTGCCAAGATCACTAGCGTAATCGTTTATGAGCATGGTAAGTATGATGCTAGGGGCTCACTCTTTTGTACCGGTAGAAATATTTACACGGCTTACTGGGAACTCAGCATTTTGTAGCAAATGAAACGCAGATTTATGAAACTAAAGAAGTCGATTTACGTACATATGGCAAAAATCTGGAGTAAAA